AGATTGTTTATATGGTGGATTACATTGATAGATTTTCGTATGTTGAACCATCCCTGCATCCCTGGAATGAAGCCTACTTGATCATGGTGGATGAGTTTTCTGATGTGTTCTTGGATCCAATTTGACAGTATTTTATTTAGTATTTTTGCATCAATGTTAATGAGGGAAATTGGCCTATAGTTCTCTTTATTAGTTGTGTCTTTGTGTGGCTTGAGTATCAATGCTATTGAAGCCTCGTATAAAGAGTTTGGCAAAGACCCTTCTACTTCTGTTACATGGAATACTTTGAGGAGAATTGGTATAAGCTGTTTTTTGAATTTCTGGTAAAATTCTGCACTGAAGCCATCTGGCCCTGGGCTTTTTTCGGTTGGGAGACTTTTGATGACTGCTTCTATTTCCTTAGGTGTTATAGGTGTGTTTAAATTGCTTATCTGTTCTTGATTTAATTTTGGTAGATGATATTTATCCAGGAAGTTTTCCATTTCATTTAAATTTTCAAATTTTGTGGAGTACAGGTGTTCAAAGTATGACTTTATGATTTTCTGGATTTCCTCAGTATCTGTTGTTATGTCCCCCTGTTCATATCTTGACCCGTCCAGCAGGCCAGGTTATTTGGTGGGTTCGAGTGGGTGTCACCTGTAGAAGTCAAATGGGGGGGGGGAGTGAAGAGGAAGCCAAGCACGTAAAGAAAGACAGAGTCAGTCTGAGTTGCGTCAAGGCTTCGTTTATTAGCTAGCAAGGTTTCATTTTTATAAGGCAGTTTAGGCAGGGCGGGGGGTGAGGACAAGGGCAGTGGAAAGTACCAGGCCTGGGTACAGGAGGGAGTATATCTTTTAGAACATCTTGTGGTTAGCCTGTTCCAGGAACCAATGTATGCATGACCAGTTTGTTCATAATATAACTTTTCAATTCAAACTGCCACTTAGTTCTGCTACAACTTAAAGGTCTCTGGGGCTCCAACAATATCTGATTTTGTTAATTTTCATGTTCTTATTTTGCCGTTTGGTGAGTTTGGATAAAGGTTTGTCTATCTTGTTGATTTTCTCAAAGAACCAAGTCTTTGTTACATTGATTCTTTGTATTGTTTTCCTAGTTTCTGCTTTATTGATTTCAGCCCTCAATTTCATTATTTTCTGCTGTCTACTTCTGGGGGAGTTTGCTTCTTTGTGTTCTGGGGCTTTCAGCTGTGCAGTTAGCTCTCTAGTGTAACTATTCTCCAGTTTCTTCTTGTGGACACTTAGTGCTATGATCTTTCCTCTTAACACTGCTTTCAATGTATCCCATAAGTTTGCATATGTTGTGTCTTCATTCTCATTGAATTCTAGGAAGTCTTTATTTTCTTTTTTATTTCTTCTTTGACCCAGGCATGGTGCAATAGCGCATTATTCAATTTCCATGAGTTTGTAGGGTTTCTGCAGTTTGTGTTGTTGTTGAATTCTAACTTTAAAGCATGGTGGTCTGATAAGACACATGGAGTTATTCCAACTTTTTTGTACCTGTTGAGGTTTGCTATGTTGTCAAGTATGTGGTAAATTTTTGAGAAGGTTCCATGTGGCACTGAGAAGAAAGTATATTCTTTTGTGTTTGGATGGAATGTTCTATAGATGTCTGTCAACCCAATTGGGTCATAACCTCTATTAGTTCCTTTGTTTCTTTGTTAAGTGTCTGTCTTGTAGTCCTGTCTAGTGGTGACAGTGGGGTTTTGAAGTCTCCCACTATTAGTGTGTGAGGTTTTATGTGTGGTTTGAGTTTTAGTGATGTTTCTTTTATGAATGTGGATGCCTTTGTATTTGGGGCATAGATGTTCAGAATCGAGACTTCATCTTTGTGGATTTTTCCTGTGATGAATATGAAATGACCTCCTTCATCTCTTTTGATTGATTTCAGTTTAAAGTCTAGTTTGTTAGATATTAGGATTGCTACCCCTGCTTGTTTCCTGGGGCCATTTGATTGGAAAACTTTTTCCCAACCCTTAACTCTGAGGTAATGTCTGTCTTTGAGGCTGAGGTGTCTTTCTTGTATGCAGCAGAAGGATGGGTTCTGTCTTTGAATCCATTCTGTCAGCCTGTGCCTTTTTATGGGTGATTTAAGACCATTAATATTGAGGGATATTAATGACCTTTGATTGCTCGTTCTCGTTTGTTTTGGACAGGTTGCTCTTGGTGGAATTGTATGTGGATTTCCACCCCTTTTTATCTTTTGGGTATTGGTAAAGTGGGATTATCTATTTCCTATGTTTTTCTGGTTGTAGTTAACTTCTTTGGACTGGAGTTTTCCTTCCAGAACTTTCTGTAGGGCTGGGTTAGTGGACAGGTTTTGTTTAAATCTGGTTTTGTCATGGAATATCTTGTTTTCTCCATCTATAGTGATTGAAATCTTTGCTGGGTATAGTAGTCTGGGCTAGCATCTGTAGTCTCTTAGTGTTGATAGAATACCTATCCAGGACTTTCCGGGTTTCAGAATTTCCATGGAGAAGTCAGGTGTAATTCTTATAGGTTTACCTTTATATGTTATTTGACCTTTTTCCTTAGCTGCTTTATTTTGTATGCTTGGAGTCTTGATTATTATGTGGTGAGGGGACTTTTTTTGTAATCCACTCTATTTCGTGTTCTGTAAGCTTCTTGTACCTTCATTGGCATGTACTTTTCTTCTATAATTTTGTTTAATATGTTTTCTGCGCCTTTGAGTTGGGTTTCTTCACCTTCTTCTATACCTGTTATTCTTAGGTTTGGTCTTTTCATGGTGTCCCATATCTCCTGGATATTTTGTGTTAGGGATTTGTTGGATTTAATATTTTCTTTGATTGATGAATCTATTTCTCCTAGTGTGTCTTCAACACCTGAGATTCTCTCTTCCATCTCTTGTATTCTGTTGGTTATGCTTGCATCTGTAGTACCTGTCCATTTCCCCCAGTTTTTCTATTTCCAGCATTCCTTCAGACTGTGTTTTTTATTGTCTCCATATCAGCTTTCAATCCTTGCATTATTTGAATTGTTTCTTGTAATTTTTGCTTTTTGTTTTCCTCCCTTTCTTGCATTTATTAGATTTTTTTTGTTTTTTTCTTCTATTTCTTGCATTTTTTGTTTTTTCTTCCATTTCTTTAATGGATTTTCTCACACGCTCTTTGAGGGCCTCTATCATTTTCATTAAGGTGTTTTTAAGGTGATTCCCTTCTCCTACGTCTGCATTGGGGTGTTAAGGTCTTACTGGCATAGAATCTCTAGACTCTGGTGATGTCATATTTGGTTTTCTGTTGCTGAGTGTGTTCTTAAATTGCCTTTCCCCCATCACTTCTTCCAGTGGGTGCAGAAAGAGTCTCTTCCTCTCCTGGTGTGTAGGTGACCAGGGTTCCCTTTAGGTGGGTGCAAGCAAATCCAATACTCTCTGGTCTCTGCTCTCTGTCTTTGCCCTGAGTGTGGGTGAAAGTGGACCAGCTATCTCTCTCAGGCTCCTGGTCACTTGGTTGTCTGTCAGGGGTGGGGGGGAGAGTCGACCTGGCTGCAGTCCCCAAGCCAGGGGATCTGAGAGATGGCAAGAGTGCTCACATCTGCCCTCTGCCCTGGGTTTGGGCGGAAGTGGATCAGCTCTCTCTGCAGGCTCCTGGCCACTTGGTCGTCCTTCAGGGGGTGTTGACCTGCCTGCTGTCCCCAAGCCAGGGGATCCGGGAGAGGGCAAGCGGGAGGAAATCGGGCCTGGTTCTCACCTTGTCCTCTGCCCCAAGTGTGGGCAGAAGTGTACCAGCTCTCTCTGCATGCTCCTGGTTGCTTGGTTGATGGGGAAGTCCTGTGTATATGTCACTAAAACACTGCTGGCCAATAGGGAAATAAGAAATGCAGGACTAGGATTCCAGGAGGACTCTGGGAAGGAAAAACACAGGGAGTCATGGTGTAGCTGCCATAGGGGTAAGAAGTCTGGACCTTTTCTCCGGTAAGAGAAATACTTAGATTAACAATTATGGGGTAAATACTTAAGTCAGAGCTAGCCAGTAAGAAACAAGCTAGGCCAACAGCTTCATAATTAATACACCGTCTTGTGTGTTATTTGGGGACTACAATGCGACAGAGCCCAGGCAACTGGTGGGGGAAAACCAAAGCAGCTGGCAAGGAAAAGGCTTCACCCTACACTTTGTTGTCTGTGTGTGTGGGTGTGTGTGGAGTTGACCTGGATGCAGTCCCCAAGCCAGGGGATCTGAGAGAGGGCGAGCGTGCTCACCTCTGCCCTCTGCCCTGGGTTTTTAATCCTGCTACTTTTCCTAACATGCTTATCAGGTATAACAGTTTCCTGGTGGGGTTTTATGGTAATTTATGTATACAGTCATATTATCTGCAAATAAAGATACTTTGATTCTTTTCTTATTTGTATTTCTTTGGTCTTCTTCACTTGTCTTATTGTTCTAGCTAAGACTTCAAGTAATATATTGGATAGGTATGGAGAAAGTGGGCATCTTTGTCCTGTCCTTGATTTTGGTGGAAATGCTTTGGGTTTCTCTGCTTTAGGTTGTTGTTGGCTGTGGGCTTTCTGTAAGTTACTTAGTTATGTTGATGTGTGTCTTTTGATTCCTAAGTCTTCATGAAGGAGTGTTGGATTTTGTCAAGGGCCTTTTCTGCATCTAATAGAGTGATCATGCGGTTTGACCTTTTAGTTTGTTTATGTGTTTGTTTACATTGATTGACTTATACAGGTTGAACCATCACTGCATCTCTAGAATAATGCTAGCTTGATCATGATGAGTAATCTTTTTCATGTGTTTTAAAATTTGTATTTTAAGTATTTTGTTGAGAATTTTTCCAGTTATCTTCATAAGGCATGTTGGTCTATAATTTTCTTTTTTTGTTTAGCCTTTGTGTGGTTTAGTTACCAGAGTAATATTGGATTTCTGAGAAGAATTAGGCAATGTTCCTTCAGTTTCTATTTTTTGGAATAATTTTAAGAGTAATGGAGTTAATTCTTCTTTAAGGTCTGATAGAATTCTGTGCTAATACATCTGTATCTATCACCAGGCACAAAATTTAAGTCCAAATGGATCAAAGATCTCAACATAAATCTACAACCACACTGAACCTCTTAGAAGAGAAAGTGGGAAGTACCCATGAACAAAGTGGGATAAGAGGTCCTGACCCTTTCTGCGGTAAGAGAAGACCACGTGGAAATACTCAGAATAGCAGTTATGGGTTAATAATTAAGTCAGAGCTAGTCAACAAGAAACCGTATCAAACAGCTTCATAATTAATATAGCATCCTGTGTGTTCATTTGGGATTGATGCGGTTCTGGGACCAGGCTGGCGGGAAGAATCTCATCACATATGGCACCCAATGTTGGTTGCATGAATTTTCACGTAGAATGACAAAAGCTTAAAAGGGATGTTTAGAAACAAAAGAACAGAGACAAGCACAGCTTCTTAGTAACAGCATTTTCTTGGGTGGGCTCTGTTTTACTAGAGACAAGCAGAGACTTGTGCAGTAAACTTATGCCTGCCATGTTGGAAAGCCAGCGGCTAAAACAGCCCCTCTTTAATTATAACAATGTTGTTTATTAGATAAAAGACACATGGCCAGAAAAACATAAAGATTTACAGTAAAGTCAGATTCAGATGAAGTAAAACCTCTAAAAGGTTTACAGTATGTTAAAAAATATATGTAGGCTTGGGAGAGAAAAAAAAGAAATAGAGAAGCTGGGCTGTGGTGGCACACGCCTTTAATCCCAGCACTCAGGAGGCACAGGCAAGCAGATCTCTGTGATTTCAAGGCCAGCTTCGTGTACAGAGAGAGTTCAAAGGCAGCCAAAGTACACAGAGAAACCCTGTCTCAAAAAAAGTAAAATTAAAAGATATAGAGTAATAAAAAAACCATAAAGGTGGAAAAGACACAGAGAGTCTGGATACTGTATGCTATTGTGTTGTCTTTCAGTTGTTCAATTGCTAAGGAAGGAACAACAACTGCTAAAATACACTTGAAATACTCAGGTTAGCAGTTATGGGTTAAAAATTAAGTCAGAGCTAGCCAACAAGAAACCATAGCAAATAGCCAACAGCTTCATAATTAATACAGCGCCCTGTGTGTTCATTTGGGAGTGACGTGGTTCTGGGACCAGGTTGGTGGGAAGGATCTCATTACAGTGTGGGTTAATATCAGCATTTTTTATTCTATTCCAATGGTCTCCCTGTTTATTTTTTTGATAATACCAAGCTGTTTACAGAACCATAGCTCTATAACAGCTTGAAGTCTGGGATGGTGATGCTTCCAGAAGTTCCTGTATTGTACAAAGTAGTTTGGGCTATCCTGGGTATTTTGTTTTTTCATATAAAGTTGTGTACCAACTCTTTGTTACATTGATTCCTTGTATCATTTTCTTTGTTTCTACTTTATTGATTTCAGCCCCCAATCTGATTATTTCCTGGCATGTATTCCTCCAGGGTGAGTTTGCTTTCTTTTGTTCCAGAGCTTTCAGTTGTGCTATTAGTCTCTAGTGTGACTATTCTTCAGTTTCTTCATGTGGGCACCTAGTGCTATGAACATCCCTCTTAGCACTGCTTTGAAAGTGTCCCATAAGTTTGGGTATGTTGTGTCTTCCTTCTCACTGAATTCTATTAAGTCTTTAATTTCTTATTTTATTTATTCCTTGACTCAGGAATGATGCAATTGCTCATTGTTCAATTTCCATGAGTTTGTAGGGTTTCTGCAATTTGTGTTGTTGTTGAATTATAACTTAAAAGCATGGTGATTGGATAAAATACAGGGAGTTATTCCAATTTTTTTTTATTTGTTGAGGTTTGCTATGTTGCCAAATATGTGGTCGATTTTAGAGAAGGTTCCATGTGGAGCTGAGAAGAAGGCATATTCTTTTGTGTTTGGATGGAATGCTCTATAGAAGTCTGTTAAACCCATCCAGGTCATAATTTCTGTTGGTTCCTTTGATTTTTGGTTAAGTTTCTGTCTGGAGGTCCTGTGTAGTGGTGAGAGTAGGGTGTTGAAGTCTCCCACTATAAGTGTGTGAGGTTTTATGTGTGATTTGAGTTTTAGTAATGTTTCTTTTATGAAGGTGGATGCCTTTGTATTTGGGGCATAGATGTTCAGAATCGAGACTTCATCTTGATGGATTTTTTTCTGTGATGAATATGAAATGTCCTTCTTCATTTCTTTTGATTGATTTTAGTTTGAAGTCTAATTTGTTAGATATTAAAATTGCTATATCTGCTTGTTTTTTGGGGCCATTTGATTGGAAAATATTTTCCCAACCCTTAACTCTGAGGTAATATCTGTTTTTGAAGGTGAGGTGTGTTTCTTGTATGCAGCAGAAGGATGGATTCTGTCTTCGTATCCATTCTGGTAGCTGTGTCTTTTTATAAGCAAGTTAAGACCATTAATGTTGAGCAATATTAATGACCATTAATTGTTAATTCTTGTTTGTTTTGGATTTGGTGGTGGTACTGTGTGCGGATTTTCCTCCTTTTTTATTTTGGCTGTTGGTAAAGTGGGATTATCTATTGCCTATGTTTTTGTGAGTGTAGTTAACTTCCTTGGTTGGAGTTTTCCTTCTTCATTCAATCCTAAAAAGTTTAATTTTCAGCCAGGCAGTGGTGGCACATGCCTTTTGTCCCAGCACTTGGGAGTCTGAGGCAGGCAGATCTCTGTGAGTATGAGGCCAGCCTGGTCTACAAGAGCTAGTTCCAGGACAGCCTCCAAAGCCATAGAGAAACCCTGTCTCAAAAACCAAAAAAGTTTTAATTTCCTTCTTCATTTCTGTCTTGACTCAATTTTCATTAGTATTTAGTTGTTCAGTTTCCATGTTTTTGTACACTTTGTTGTTTCTGCTGTTGTTGATATCTAGATTTGATCCACGCTTCTAACTCCTGGTCTGTGCAACTCTCTCTCTCTGGTAAATAAATATATTGTTTTCCCTATATAGCATCGAATATCGTTATAGTGTTTAGATAAGATACAGAGTACTATTTCAGTTCTCTTGTGTCTGTTGAGACATCATGTGCAGTTATATGGTCAATTTTGGAGAAAGTCCCAAGAACTGCTGAGAAGAAAGTATGTTCTTGTATATTTGAGTGAAATATTAACTAGTTATCTACAAGGTACATATAGTTTAGGGTATTATTTAACACTAGCATGTCTCTGATTAGGTTTTGCCTAAACAACCTGGCTATTGAATAGAGTATATTGTAGTCACATTATTGCTGTGAGGATTTTACTGTGATTTTAGCAGTAGTACTTTCATGAATATGGGTGCCCTTGTGTTTGGTACATAAATGTTTAGAATTGTAGTGCCTTCTTGGAATATTTTTCATTTGATGAGTATGTATATTTTGGTTTCAGATTTTTATGGTGTTGTGTGTGCATGCACACGTGTTTCTAAGAGAGAGAGAGAGTCAGAGAGACAGAGATAGACAGAGAGAGACAGAGAGAGAGAGAGAGAGAGAGAGAGAGAGAGAGAGAGAGAGAGAGAGAGAGAGAGAGAGAGAGAGCGAAAGCATGGACTTGCATTGATAGGAAGATGCGATGGTATTTACACACCCCTAGCCAGTGAGGCTGTCTTAGTTTGGGGTGTTTTACATTTGTTTATTCTCTGGAATATTTGTCTAATGATGCAAAATTGTGTTGCTTTGCTTGCCTAGATCACTTTATTGGTCTAATAAAGAGCTGAATGGGCAATAATTAGGAAAGAGAAATGGTAGGGAAGTGAGGCTGGCAGGCAGAGAGAATAAATTGGAGGAGAAATATGGGAAGAGAGATCAAGGATCAAGAATAGGAGGACAGGAGAAGTCCAGGGGCCAGTCACCCAACTACACAGCAAGCCATGGAGTAATAAGGAAAGGAAGGTATATGGAATAGAAAAAGATAATAGTCCAGATTCAAAAGGTAGATGGTATGAAAGTTAAGAAAAGCTGGCTAGAAATAAGCCAAGATAAGGCTGCGCATTCATGCCGGGCATTGGTACCACACGCCTTTAATCCCAGCACCGGGGTGGCTGAGGCCAGCTTGGTCTCAGAGCGAGAGTTTGAGGACATCCTCCAAAACAATACAGAGAAATCCTGTCTTGAACCCCCAAAAAGGGTGTGCATTCTTAAGTAAGAATAAGTCTTTATGCATTTATTTGGGAGCTGGGTGGGGGTCCCCCAAAGAGCAAGAATTTAAAAAAAACTACAGAGATCTTGTCTGAAAAACAAAAACGTAGTAGTAAAGAGAAGGTAGGAGTTTGGTGAGGAAGGCATGGACATGTATGGTGCATTCTCAATACTCTTGTAGTCACTACACCATCTTAGCTAGAGTTAAACAAGGCTGTACAGATAGTCAATGAGGATGTCACCAGGAAAATGATGTGCACAGGCACTGTTTTATTATATTACCAATGCATCTGGCTGCTGTTCTTCTCAGTGTATGATGAGAACATGCCCATGCTTGGCTAGTTGAAGGGAAGTTTCTTTTCATCCTAACCATCATGTGACAACTTGGCTTTGAGTGACTTTGAATCTGAGCATTTCTGGAAAATATGCAAGCCTAGTTTACCTCTCAATGTGGTCCTCTGATCAGAGAATCACTCACTGAGAGGCACCGGGCAGGTTGAAAATACTGAAGGAAGACCTCACATTTCTGTTAAGCTAGGGCCCTACTATGGCTTCTTACATAAACAGTGAATGTAAAGAGTGAAAATAAATACATTCTCTACTCTTGGTTATGTGAGATACCATCACAAACCTCATGCTACCTGGATTCACTCATATGTAGCTGACTCCTCTGCCATTTAACAGATACCACAGAACAATTCTGTTGTTTACGTCCATTTTCTTGAGGGCAAGCTTTGTGTGGGGCGAGGGAGGTATTTACTTTGGAGTTGGTCATCCTTAGTAAAGTACACTGGCATTTATAATAACCCTCCTTGTAGTCTTGGAGTACATGAGCAGATTTGACTAGATAGCAGCTGTTAGATGTCATAGAATGTATTGGATTATGAGTTCACTATGCGAGTTCTATGACACTCTGCTGACACGTTCTTAGATATAGTCATGCCTCAGTTCTGAATGCCAGTACACTTTGAGAATTTCCTCAGAGTATGTGGTTATAAATTGTGGAGTGATAATTGTGTTGGAATTAGAGTATAATGGGGAACTGTTGTAACAGTCGAGGTATGTCATTACTAGTCATTGAGTACTCCTTCAATTAGACTAGCAAATATTTCTCAAAATATCTTCTTTTATAACTTCTGTATTGTTAGGACTATGTTTTATTATGTATTGTGTGTATTATATTCTCTATGAAAAAATTGACTATAATTTAATGTGTATGTATATGTGGGTGATATATATATATACATATACATATACATAATACAAATTCATATTCCCTCCCTCAAGTTTGTCCTTAGTAGATATACCTATATATAAATACTGCAATGTTATTTCATAAATATACTATGCAATAAGTACTTGGTTCTCTGTATTGAAATTAGTAATCTTAGAAAACCAGGGTGACTCATAGTACTAGAAATATTGTGATAAATTTCACACTGTAATGTGATTGTTTTGTTCTGAATGCGTGATCACTATTTCAGCACATGAAGTAAGGAAGTAAGGACTGAGGTGAATTATAGAGACTGATGAACTAACTAGAGAGTTGATATCAATTTGCAATCATCAATGAGTATAAAGAGTGTGTATATGTTGAACAAAAAGAATTGTTTGAAAGAGTAATTGTGTTTCTGTGTATGTAGAACCACAGCTCTGAAGAGACATGTTAACTCTTATTTCTGTTTTCATGTGTTATGTGATTTAGTTATCCTGACCTGCTTTCAGAGCTCTTTCACAAAGCTGAGCTATAGCTGTCTTCATGAATTGATCAAAACCTAAATGTAGAGATGCTCACATTTTTGGAGAGCTGTTAATTAAGATTTTAGGTTGTCAATGTTCTTTTAATACTAGACGTTTTAATATGTAATGTTAATCTGTCAAAGAATCTAGGGTTCATTTCATTAAACAGGGATTCACTGCCTATGCTTAAGGCAGCTAGAATACTTTGGAAAACAATGATTTTTTAAGGCATGGACATTGATTGTGTACTTAGGGCAACATAGACATCATTTTAAAATATTTACTTCTTTTTAATAGAGGTTGGCAAATTTGAAAGGTAGGCTCTTAGGACTAGCAATCATATATTATTAGAAGAAGAGTGACCTAGGCATTTAAAATTTGGGGCTTTAGATAGCAGGACATTTTAAAATAACTAACCTTCCTGAGTGTTGATACTGCTTAGATCACTGTCATTGAAATCACTTAACAACAGCCCAGATACTTGTTTTTCTTTATTGACTATGTGAATTCCTGGGGTGGAATAAAACACACGCACGCACGCACGCGCACACACACACACACACACACACACACACACACACACACACACACTGGTGAATGTGCTCTTAGATGGAAAAGCCTCGATGTGAACTTAGACATATTGCCCACTATCCTGAGTCTCTAAAATGTTACCTTACTCACCAATCAAGAAGTCCTATCTTCTTTGTACATGTCAGGATATCTGCAAGTCTATAGAAGTCCTAGGCATTACCTACATTATGACATAGAGTCCATGCATGGTCACTTAGCCCAGGACAGGTATTGCTACATCAGTGTCACATTTCATACTAATCATCATCATAAGGAAGTACCAGATTCTTAGGTTTGGGACACCCACCTTCATACCTGGCCTAAAGCCAATTACAGATGAAGAGATCATTAATTGGTATCTAATGTCAATACAAATGTGGTCCTTGTATAAGAGCAATACGAATGTGGCTCTTAGAAGTGCAGAGATATTTGAGCTACACACCCTGAAAGAGTGATACACATGTTATCTTGAATATCTACCCAGTTTTATGAGTATACATCACCCCTGAAGCAATTCTCATGTGTAGCTATATTAAAGGACTTGAGTGGTCAAAGGGATCCAGACACTTATTTTCCCCCATCACTGTTGGTTTTAAATTGGATCCCACAAAACACATGATTACAAAAGTTTATAGAATAATAAAGACTCGAAGGAGAAACAAGACACAGCATGCTTATTACTAATTTCCACTCTTCAGTAAATTATTGTTCTATGTCAAAAGATGAATAGATAAATACAGTTACACCATATGCCTTATACTAAATTCACTTCCCCAGTAAAATGTTTGATACCAAAGCTAAAATTCTATGTTCTTTATGATGAATGCAGAATCAGAATGTATCAGTTGATGGAGGTTGAAATATGCTTGTGAGATATATTGAATAATTGTCAGTTCTTCTAGGGTTCAAAATGATCTCAGGAATTGATGGTGATATGTGGTTTAATTGTGAGATTTATTTTGCTTGGCAGAGTGAGATATTTCAGTAGGTAATAGTGCTTGTCACAAGACCTGGTGTTCTGAGTCTAATTCCAGAACCCACATAGTGGAAGGAGAGAACTAGACACCAAACATTGTCCTCTGATGTGCTACCTCCCAAACTGAATAAATGTATAAAAGTTTTTGAAACATGCACTCAGTAGTTACATATTGAACCATTCTCATATTGCTTTGGATTCCCATTCCCATAGAAAGCAGAAAATGAAGACTCTGTTTTTATATTTTTTTAAATCTTTGCCTACATTTGCTATCAGGAAGACAGTCCAGTAATCATCTAATTAATGGCATGTGCTGGTTACATACACTTTTATCCATGTCAAGGAAGGATGGCTTGGGTGAATAAATGTACCATGAGCTGACAGTTATTTTCTGTTCCTCTAGTTGTTCCTATAGAACATGCAATTATCCCATATTACTCAACTGGTGAACAAACGTGTCCAGAGACCTTCTTGGAGGTAAAAAGTTTCTTTGCTTTATGTAAGAGACAAAAGTTAGTTTAATTATTATTCCCTATGTTTCAATGACTATCACACTTGAAAAATAAATTTGATTAGGTTATCAAGAGCATGAAATAGTATATTTAGGAAGAAGGGGAAACAGAATTATACCAGATTAGTGATTGGACAGAACATTCACACTTGCTTATGTCAAGAAGCAAGTTTGACTGGGGATGTGTCTTTGGGAGAATGATGTTCTACTTTAGACAAAAGAATGCAAATTTCACTTAGAAGTTGATAGGCTTATCATCCTTGTGGGTTAATGTAAGGGAAACCCCCCTTTTATGACTTCTAGAGCCTCTGGCTTAGGTTGAATTTGGTTATGTTCCCCAAAGACATATGTGGTAGAAGCCTCATATGTCCCAGTATGGGGATGTCTAGGTGCCGAGAACTTTAAGACATGAGGATGTGTGCACATTATTGGAGTGTTCCATAAAAGAGATGAATATCATAATAGACAGATGTAAATTATTCTGTCATGTGTGTAATGTAGCTTAGCTGAACCGTCAGTGGAGGCCAAACACACAGGTTTGCCAGATATGGCCTCAAGGTCAGCAAAAGTGGGAAACATACTAGTTTTTATTAGTTTGTTTGTTTTTGGTTTTTTTTGTCACGAATCAGACATGCTGAGCCATTCTGTGTCAGTATCACGTGATATACTAATCCAGAATCTTCCACCCAAGGACTTGGCAGTCCTTTGTATAATAATACCTGCAAACAGGTAAACCAAGAAGTTGTACAAACAGAACCAACCATAATTCAAGCTCACACTGTTTTCTTTCCTTTGTATTGCAGGTGGAGCCTACAAAACCCCAATGTGGTATGTATTCTGGAGTCACTGAAGACATGTTTTAGATGTGAATTGTGTGAATACTGCTTGTCTTTTGTCTAGTTCACCACAGTAAAAAAAACACATCTATCAATTTGCAGTTGGGAATTTGATTTAAAAAAGTAATGCCTCAAGTAAGGAATCATAGGCATCTGTCTAAAGTAGCTGCATCCTGTTGTTACCTCCTTAGTTTGAGATTTTGTGTGCCAGGCTGTGTCTAAACTTATTTTAGCTAGACAGATATCCATATCACTAACCCAATTCCCAGGGAAACTGCTGAGAAAAAAATCAGGATTAGAGCTACCTTGTCAGCTATGGGGGACCCAGCCCAGACTCTGTCCTTGTTCTGGGAGACTTTTTTTAAACTTAAGAATAAAATTAATATTCGCAGTTTACCTATAATAGTGTGTTTGAAGCTCACCACAGCCATATGTAATAGTTTGATTTGTGTTTTCCTAAGCAAGTGAATTAACCAAGGCTCAGAATAAGTGATGAGGGTCTTTACACATGCAGTACAGCCACTTCATTTAACACCACTACTGGCACAATAATCTCTACGGAAGAGTGTCCAGATTTCCAACATCTGGCTGCAATAAATCAAAGTGACAGGAATGCCCCAAGACTGCCACACCTCCCACAGTATTCAGAAGGCTGGGACAGTGCAATTCACCTGCCTGCAGACGTTAGGAAGTAGGAAAGAAAACAGCCCACAATGTGGTGTAGGTCAGAGACTGTGTGTTAACCACTACATTGACATACGATGGTTGTGAACTGGATTTGAGCTAGACTTGGTCGGCTCCTTCCAGTAAAACCTGAAAAGTTTTACGTCATTTAACAACATTTGTATGGACACAAAAAGCAACACAATTTATGCACTGTGTCCACTAAGAACTCCAGTCTCCACCTGGATGTTGATCTGTGCTATCTGACTTTCTGTACAATATAGGGTTTTGGTTTTGGCTGTTGCTATGGTGTTCTTTTTTTGTTTGTTTGCTTTCTTACTTGTTTGAGACAGGGTCTCACTGTGTATCCATGTCTCTCCCAGGACTCTGTATATACCTTTCTGACCTGGAACTCACACAATTCCTCCTGCCTCTTGCCTACAGACTACTGTTAAAAAAGGAGTTCACTACCACACCCACTGGGACTATACCTCTAAAAATATTGTACCCTCTATGCTTCAGTAGTTTTCTTCTCAGTGGTATTTGGTCCCCATATTTTCAGCATGACCACTCAGATACATATGCTCAGCAGTGAACCACATAAGACTCAGTAACATCATTTCAAAAGTATTTTATATGTAGTCCAATGACTCTTTCAGTACTTTCGTGTATTGTATTTAGATTAAGGGAAGCAAGTATGCTAATATGGACTGGAGGTTTTGATCCAGTTGCCTCAGTGCATGCTTAGCATGTCCATGACCCAGAGTTCCTTAGTTCTGTTTAAAATGTACCCAGGATGGTTAAATCCTACTAATCCTTGTCATTGAGAAGTGGAAGAAGGAGAAACATGAGTTCAAAGTCCTTCTTTGCTGTAGAGTAAATTTCAGACTAGACTAGAATGGAGATCTTTTCTGAAAAATGAAAACATAACAGTATAGAGAAGGTAGGAGTTTGGTGAGGAAGGCATGGTCATGTATGGTGCACTGTCATTACTCTTGTAGTCACTACAGCATCTTAGCTAGAATTAATCAAGGCTGTACAGATAGTCAATGAGGATGTCACCAGGAAAGTGATGTGTACAGGCACTGTTTATTATATTACCAATGCATCTGGCTGCTGTTCTTCTCAGTGTATGATGAGAACATGCCCATGTTTGGCTAGTTGAAGGGAAGTTTCTTTTCATCTTAACCATCATTTGACAACTTGGTTTTGAGTGACTTTGAATCTGAGCATGTCTAGACCTTTCAATGTGGTCTTCTGATCAGTGAATCATTGACTGAGAGGCACCAAGCAGGTTGAAAACACTGAAGGAAGACCTCACATTTCTGTTAAGCTAGGGCTCTCCTATGACTTCTTACAGTGAATGTAAAGAGTGAAAATAAATACATTCTCTACTCTTGGTTATGTGAGATACCAACACAAACCTTATGCTACCTGGATTCACTAATATGTAGCTGACTCTTATGCCATTTAGCAGATACCACAGAGCAATTCCATAGTGTATGTCTGTAGCACAATAAATAAATGACCCAGAGACAGATATTGGGGTTCAAGCTTCAAGCTGAAGATCAGAAAAGCAGAGCAGCCAGCAGCTAACTCTTACCTCTACCTCAGACTGAAGGACTATCCTGGCTCCCCCAAAGCTCCCACTGCAATCCCAGACTGCTATACTCTCGTTAACATGGCTGGGGAATCCTGAGAGCGAGTCTACTGAAGACTCTCCTATCTTTTATATCACACCATTGTTGGGATTGAAGGCACGAGTTCTGTTACTCTTTTAAACTGATTTAATCTTATGTAGCCCTGGGTGGCCTTGAATTCAGGGAGACCTATCTGCCTTCGTCTCTTGAGTCCTAGGATTAAAGGTGTGAACCACCACTGATTTATCTCTATGTCTTTAGGCTAACTTTGCTTTCAAATCTTCAGTCGAAGTTTCACAAATAATAAATAATATGTGTGCACGTGCACGTGTGTGTGTGTGTCTACATGTGTGTGTGTGTGTATGGATGGATGGGTATATGAATGGATGAATATATACTTGTATATCTATATTTTGGACTGAGAGGTCTCATAGTATATAGCATCCTAGCTAAGACCACAGAGAAGTGAGGGAGTTTATTAATTTTGCTGTGTTTATGTGACTAAGAGAGATTTGGATGCTGCTAATCAGGTACAAAGTCAATTTAACACAGTAAAGTGGGTCTTCTCTAACACTGTCACAGTGACATAAATTTATGAATTTCCTGTATCATCAATGTAATACATGCTGAAGTATGCAGTGCATCAGAGTGTGACTCTGATGACAGTGCTTGAATATGGTCAAAAGAACATTACTGGTTTCCTGGAATGAAGTTAACAAAACTGTTTGCTGTTAATACACCACCAGTGTCCAATATCTGGATAGACACCACCAGAAGCATGCTGCTATTGAAGAGGTTGATTAAGGTTCTCAAGTCCAAGCTGGCACTTCCATAGAAAGACCACAAAGTGAAACAGAAGGAATTGTTGAAAGGCAATAATTTCATTTTTTTCATATTTTTTTGGATTTTACGAGACAGGGTTTCTCTGTATTGTTCTGGAGGCTGTCGGTCCAGCCTGGCCTTGAACTCACAGAGATCCACCTGCCTCTGCCTCCCGAGTGCTGGGATTAAAGGCGTGCGCCACCACCGCCCGGCGAAAGGCAATAATTTCATTGGGAGATATATAGCAGTTGCAGGAAATTTTTGTACACTAAGGGGGGGAGACGACAACCTTAGAATTAGTTTCTATTTAGATAATGTTAATTTAAATAGTTCATGAGTTGAAATTCAACCACACAATTTAAGAATGAATTTTAACTTCACCTTTTCCAGTCATTGAGCAACAAAAAGCAGGGCAAAGATGAACTCAAACTGTTAGTTTACTTAGTACAGACAGGAATAGGTAAGCTACCCTATTACCTTCTCTAACAAACCTTTAATGTGAATGAACTGGATATAGACAGATGTTGCAGTCACTAAGTAACAATAAACGTAGGAGAGGTGAAGTCAATCTTCTCTCTGTCATTGTCACTTCACCTGGTACAGGCAGGAAAAGGTGAACCACCTCTCTATTACTTTCTCCCAGAAACCTTTAATGTAGATGAACTCAGTGTAAGCAGTCTCAAGATTGACATGGTAATTTTCAAAATCGGAAACAATTAGGACAAATTTTGAAATAGAAAACAGCATTTCTGGACTGTCCCAAGTGGAGTGGCTCCCTGGAGTAGTGTGCCACACCCTGTGCTTATGGGAAAGAACAGTACCAACAAGGAAATGACACAAGATTACATTGCTTTTCCTCTTCCAAAGGCATCATGGTAGTCTAGTTATATGGTTAAGCTTAAGTACTCTTTGCTTCTGGCTCTGTCATTTGAAGGCAGACTTTTAACACTTAATGCTTTTTAGCATTTGTCAGTACCAAATGTCTAATGCTAAGTAGCTCTCAATGGAATTTAAGCCTTTCCCAGTTTGTTGGCTGAAATACTGACCAAAACATGCCAAAGGTGGAGTGATCATTTTGTCATGCTATCATGAGTGTGGTGTGCATATTTGCTGAGAACCCATAGATCCAGGAGCCTGAGGCACAGGTTCAATGCAACATGAATAAGGCAAAGGAGGGCTTATGCTCTGCTCACCTTCTCCCTTTACAGTTGTGGATCTCAGCCCCAGGCACAATACCACTTCTCAGTTAACCCTGTCAAGATAATGCTCTACTGCCATGGCCCTTATCATCTTGACATTTGTACCATCACAGTGTCCCCAAAAGGTAGTGATCAGTTTGGTGTTTCAATCTGTGATAAACCCAGTCTTTCTGGTGGAAGAGACCACCGCTTCCTGTGCTCTAAAATATAAATATATAACTAAAGATCTTGCCAAGTCCTCCTAGTGGTGCAGAATAAGGAGATACTTTCCCTAGGTCCAGTGGGATATTGTAGTAATGCCTAATTGTTCCTCTACTGACCATTTAGTCCCTCGTTAAAGGACATTCACAGACTGATAAATAAATAGTAGGTTACTCTGGTATGACCCCATTGTAACACTATCGATGTCGTGAAAAGTAAAGGCTTCATCTGTGTCTTCAGCTTTTAGCAGTCTATGCTCCTTAACTTTAACTGGCATACTGGGTGACTGAGTCAAGGCAGGTTACAGGCTGATTTCTATCTTGGACCCTTCAATTAATGGATGATGGGGGCAAACGGATCTATACTCAGACCCATCCTTGATGCTTTTAGAGGCATCCTTACTTCATCCTCCAAGATGCAGAGACTGAGTTTGTGAATTCTGTAAAATACTGCCCATACTCCTCAGATTATAGGATATAGACATGAGGGGATTAGCTGTGTAGGCAACCATAGGATGTGTCTGTCCCTTGTGCTGTCAGCACTTGAGTCCCACCCACTTGGCATGGTCTGACATTTGTCATCTTTCCTGGGGACATGAAATTTGATCTAAGGAGTCTCTGTCCTCTCAGTGACTTCACTGCCATGTCCTCAGTAGGCTCACAAACTAGGCTCATCAGAAGTATATCTGCTTCTATGGATTCTCTCATTCTGAGGTGGCTTTGGGCTCCTTTTCATAGCGTGTATCTGTAGGTTGAATTCACAGTTTCAATCTGATTCTGAGCTGTGTGTGATTCTACTTCTGTCTCCCAGCTTTCAGTCTCCCTTCCTAGTACTCCTGGCCCCTATCCTTCCCAGCTTCTTCTCTTTCATGATTACTATGTGTCTTGGTCTGGCATGCCATGGAGGCCTGTGTGGTCCAATCCACCGGTTCCTTTATTGGTGATTCTGTGTATTGGAAGACATTGTCTAGGCAATGTGGACTAACTCCCATATATGCTCTTCAGCCTCAGTCCTGGGTATCCTAGATATTTCCTCAATCCCCACATAGCTCATGAGATTGAAAAGGTCACTAGGAGAGAACAGCAAAGAACCCTTAGAACAGGTTTGTACCTTGAAAGGCAATTGGATCTCTAATAAAGGTGGATCAGACCTTTACTACATGGACATAGGTAATTGTCTACTGGTGGCCAACTGAGCCTGAATAGAGGGGCAATTGCCCTGTACTCAAAATCATCTCAGGGATTGGATGTACTGTGTGATTTTTATCATAAAATTTTTTTATGGGGCCAGTGACATGGCTCAGCGGTAAAGGCATTTGATGTAAGACTGAGGACAAAAAATTGAACCTGGAAAATGCATGGTGGCCTGAGAGAATCAGGCACAGAGGGTTTAAAAGGTTTAAATATGATGGATCCCCAGCCAGATGTTGGACCTCCCAAACAAGTATTATAAGAAGTAAGTTTGGGAAAGATTTATTTCATCTTTACACCATATGTCACAGTCTTTTACAATGCTATAAATTCCCATTGCTTAGAAGGAAAAAATCTGTTCATGTTCTTCATTTCTTTCCAGGTCATCTCTTGGCCTTAATTTCTCTTCTTGGAAGTCCAACAACAACCTCAACATAGTGTTCAATTGGTGTAGTAAAATATACTAAGCTTTTATCCATATCAAGGAAAAATCCCCTATAAATAATAATAATTCCTGGGAATTGAGAGTCACTTTTTTGTTCCTAGCATCTTCTAAAACTGCTAACAGTGCAACTTCACCAAGGGACCAGCGAGATCCACCAGTGAGGAAGGTGAAGGTAAGACTGTTTTCCTTTCTCTGAGGCAGAAAGGTTACATCAGTGCTCCCCTCTTGTTTCAGAGGATATTACATTTGAATCATGAAGCTGGTCTGAGTCATCATGGGCATTAGAGAGTTTATTTAGTTGGAGGAGGAATGTTACTGTACCAACTTTGATTTCCTTCAAGACAGCATGCATCACAATGTGGCACAAGTTGTGTCCTGCTTTATGAGTGATTCCATCAAGATGGGTGCCTCTAATGCACTCATGGTTTAAAGATCTGTCAAGCTGAATACTGAATGTCCTCAAGCTGGACACACTAAGCTTCCAACACATCAAACTTTGGGTCGTATACTCATGTTATTTCCAAACCAGAGGTCCTAGAAACAGAAAACATCTTAGAAAAATACAAGTTTTCATTTGCTATGTGATGTACGTTTACAACTCTGGAATCCAGACACATTTACCTCATCTGCATTTGACTCAGAACTAAGTATGGAAGTTACATTTTTTTTGTCACAAAATACAGAGTCCCAGATCTTCTTTGACATCATAAAATCATGTCCCCATTAATATAGTCTTCTCTTTACTGCTCTTCTCTGTCCTAGCTGCAATTACACTGTCAGTAGAAAAACAATGGCTTTGTAGACATTGCTCAGCATGATCATGGCATTAAATATTTTCTTTCCTATTGTATGCAGGTGGTGTCTACAAAAAGCACATTTGGTATGTATTTTTGGATCATGTTCCTAAGACACATTTTAAGAAGACCAATTGTATTTTCTGTGATGCACCACTGTGATGTAAGATACCTAATGAGAGGAGAATTTTGGTTTTATATATTTTTTAGTGTTTTTTTAGGAAAGGGACATATCCAGTAAGAAATCATAAATATGTGTATGTTCCTTGTATTCAACAGCAATCCTTTAATATTTTGAGGTATTGTACTCCAGTTCTTATCTCAATCTCCCCCTCCAAAAAATATCACAACATTTACCCATTCAAATTTTCAGTGACAGATATGTAAATTGAAAATCAGAATACAAGTTACCTACAAAAATGTATTCAAACCTCATCTCTGTTAAATAGAGTCAGCCATATGTTTGTGTGTTCATCCATAAATGAATACACCAGAGGTCAGAAATAGTTATGAGGTACCTCCTTAACTATGACTCTCAAGAGACACTACTTATTCTATCAAGGGTACAATAATCCTGTCAAATAGTTCTGCCTTCTTGCATCTGCCTGCAATAAGGCAAATGAATAGGGATCCCAAATGCCACAATGACTGCTGCAGTGGGTAGAAGTTCTAGGTAGTGTCATTCAGCATGCAACAGACCATCTATTCTTCAAAAGGCAGAAGCACACATCCCGATTTTTAGGTGACAGATTCTAAAAATTAAATAAATGACATGGGAGAGTGGGGTGCATAGTTCCAAAATTGGATTCTGTTAATCATAATACATTCCAGTATGTTCTGAAGAAAAACATAACAGATTGTACAACATCAACATGGATACACACAATTTAGGGGCAGTGTGCCCTGAGAACTGCAGTCACCAACTAGAGCTTGATATATGCCATCTCATTTTTTGAGAATACAGTGTTTTCTTTTGCTTTGTTTTTGAGGCAGGGACTTACTGTGTGTCTATACCTGTACTAGAACTACCTACACATAAACCACACTGGCCTGGAACTCACACAACTTCACCTGCCTCTGCCTATAGAGTGCTGTTTATATCCAATGAGAGTACATCTTTAAATGCAGGTACAATCTGTGCTCCAGAAGTTTTTTCTTTCAGGAAAGAGCATTCACTAAGATTTGAATGTGAGCACTCATTAGGTACATATATATAGCAGGGAAACACAACACTATCATACTGACAATGGATTTATGACTTCCCTACACCATGCTGGAGTAAGCAGTGTAATCAGTGGTCTCCGTAATCACCACTGTGACTCTGATGACAGTACCTGCAGAACATTCATGATATGGATGTAGAAAAACAGACTGCTTTCTTCTATTTTCTGCCATGAAACTGATATTTCTGACTCTCAGTGTCCATAATGGGGAGAAAAGTCTGTCGGAATTACACTTTTGTTCCTCGGTTCACTGAAGAATATCAAGTCCGAGCTGGTACTTCCAAAGAAAGAGCAGAAAGTGAAATGGAAGGTACTGTTGAAAAGCAATAATTTCAATTGTGGTTATATGATAGTTGTGAATCATTCTAGGGGGTGAAAATGATGAACTTAGCATTAGTTTGCAATGTAGATAATGTTAATTTGCGTAGTTCCTCAGTTGAATTCAGCCAAAGAATTAAAAAGGAATTTTACATTAAGTGTTGCAGTCATTAAGTAACAATAAACATAGGAGAGGTGAAGTCAATCTTCCCTCTGTCATTGTCACTTCACCTGCTGCAGGCAGGAATAGGTGAACCACCTCTCTATTACTTTCTCCCAGAACCTTTAACTGCGATGAACTAAATATAAGCAGTCTCAAGATTGACATGGTGATTTTCAAAATTGTCAAGAGTTAGGACAAAATTTGAAACAGACAACAGCATTTCTGGACTGTCTCAAGTGCAGTGGCTCCCTGGAGTAGTGTGTTACATGCTGTACTTATGGGAATGAACAGTACAGTCAAGGAAATGGGACAAGGTTGCATTGCTTTTCCTCTTCCAAAGGCATCATGGTAGTCTAGTTGTGTTGTCAGACTTAAGTACTCTTTGCTTCTATCTCTGTCATTTGGAGGCAGACTTTTAACATTTAATGTTTTTCAGCATTTGTCACTCCCAAATGTCCAATTGTACTCAGTAGCTCTCCATGGAATTTGTGCCTATGGTACTTTCCCAGTTTGTTTGCTGAAATACTATGAACAAAACACACCAATGGAGGAGCATCCATTTTGCCATGCTGTCATGAGTATGGTGTGCATATTTGCTGAGAACCCATAGGTTCAGGAGTCTGAGGCACACGTCCAGGGCAACAAGAATAAGGCAAAGGAGGGCTTATGTTCTGCTCACCTTCTCCTTATATAGTTGTGGATCTCAGTGCCAGGAACAATAGCACTGACAGTGGGACAGTTTACTTCCTCAGTTAACCCTGTGAAGATAATGCCCTACTGCCATGGCCTAGAGATCTGGCCCTTATCATCTTGACTTTAGTGGTTAACCATCACAGTGCCCCCAAAAGCCAAAAGGTACTGATCAATTTGGTGTGTGTTTGTGTATATGTGTGTGTGTGTGTGTGTGTGTGTGTGTGTGTGTGTGTCTTCCACAGTTCTCCTAGAAATGCAGAATAAGCAAATAATTTCCCTGGGTCCATTAGGACTTTGTAGTAGTGCCTCCTTGGTCAACTTTGATCATCAATCCCTCTTTAAGGGGCACCCTCAAGGTAGTCTGCTAAATAGCTAGCAGGCTTCTCTAGTGTGACCTCATTGCAAAGCTAGAAATGTCTTGAAAAGTAAAGTCCTCGTGTGTGTCTTCAGCTTTTATCAGTCTATGCTCCTTAACTTTAACTGGCATTCTAGGTGACTAAGTCAAGAGAGTTTCTAGGCTGATATCTATCTTGGATCCTTTGCCTTAATGATGAAAGAAAAAGAGTCTACACTCTGGCTTATCTTTGAGGCCTTAGAGGCATCCTTATTTAATCCTCCAATATGCAGAAACTGAGTTTGTGTGTTTCCCTCAAAATACTGCCCGTACTCCTCAGAATAAAGGATATATACATGAGGGATCAGCTCTCCAAGTATCTATATGATGTGTCTGTCCCTTGTGTGGTCATATTTGAGTCCCATCCTCTTGGTATGGTCTGGTGTATCTCATCTTTCCTGGGGACATGATTGTGTAATCTAAGGAATCTCTTCTAAGTGGCTTCACTGTCACTTCCTTGTTAAGTTCACAGCCTGGCTTTATAAGAAGTATGTCTTCTTATATTGAATTTTCTCATTCTGCATTTTTTGGCTTCCTTTCATAGACTGTATCTGTAGGTTCAGTGTCTCCCTGCTTCTGAGATGTATATGACAGATGCATAGGATTCCAATTTTTGCCCCCACCCTTCATTCTCCCTTCTTATTACCTCTTGCCCCTTTGTTTTTCCAGCCACTTCTCTTTCATACATGGAGGAATATGTAGTTCCTTCTAACCAAAACCTATTGGGGATTCTGTCTACTGGAAGACATTTTAGATGCAATGTCGGATAACTTTCATTAATGTCCCCAGTCACATCCCTACTTGTTTTAGGTCTTCCTGTGATCCTTAAATGTCTATCTCATACAAAGTTCATGAGATTCAAAAGATCACTTGGAGACAACAGAAAAGAACCCCTCTTAGAAAAGGTTTTTATCTTGAAAGGCAGTTGAATCTCTAGTAAAGGTGGATCAGACATTTACTACATGGACATAGAGAATCGTCTACTGCTGGGCAGCTGAGCCTGAAGAGAGTGGCAAATAACCCTCATTCAAAATCATCTCATGGACTGTGTGATTTTTAGAAAGATCTCCCATGCTCTTGGATAGGTAGGACTAACATAGTAAAAATAGAAATCTTGCCAAAAGCAATCTACAGATTCAGTACAATCCCCATCAAAATATATTGGCACAATTCTTCACATACCTTCAAAGAACAATGCTTAACTATATGTGGAAAAACAAAAGGCCCAAGAGAGACAAAACAACCCTGTACAATAAAGGAACTTCTGGAGGCATCACCATCCCTGACTTCAAGCTCTATTATGAAGCTATAGTCCTGAAATTGGCTTGGAATTGGCATAAAAATAGACGTAGACCAATGCAATCAAATTGAAAACCCTGGTATTAACCCACACACCCCTGTACACCTGATTTTTGACAAAGAAGCTAAAAGTATACAATGGATAAAAGAAAGAGTCTTCAACAAATTGGGCTGGCATAACTGGATGCTAGCATGTAGATGACTGCAGATAGATCCATATCTATTACCATGTACAAAACTTAAGTAAAAATGGATCAAAGAAGTCAACATAAATCCAGCCACACTGAACCTCTTATAAGAGAAAGTGGGAAGTACCTTTGAATGAATTGGTAAAGGAGACTGCTACCTGAACATAATACCAGTAGAACAGACATTGAGATCCACAATAAATGGGACCTCCCAAAACTGAGAAGTTTCTGTAAGGCAAAGAACACAGTCAACAAGCCAAAACAGAATGGAAAAAGGTCTTCACCAACCCCACATCTAACAGAGGGCTGATCTCCAAAATATACAAAGAACTCAAGAAGCTAGTCACCAAAACACCAAATAATCCAATTAAAAAATGAATAATAGAGCCAGAGAATTCTCAGTAGAAGAATCTAAAATGGCTGAAAGACACTTAAGAAACTGCTCTACATTCTTAGGTATCAAAACAACTCTGAGATACCATCTTGCTCCTGTCAGAATGGCTAAAATCAAAAACAAAGATGACAGTTTGTGCTGGAGAGGATGTGGAGAAAGGGGAATACTCCTTCACTGCTGGTGGGAGTGCAAACTATTGCAGCCATTTTGGAAATAAGTATGGTGGTTCCTCAGGAAAATGGGAATCAGTATTCCTCAAGATCCAGTAATTTCACTCTTAGGCATATACCCAAAAGATGCACATCCATACAACAAGGAGCTCTGTTCAACTATGTTCATAGCAGCATTATTTGTAATAGCCAGAACCTGGAAGCAACCTAGATGCCCCTCAGCCAAAGAATGGATAGAGAAAAGGTGGTACATTTACACAATGGAGTTCTACCTAGTGGAAAAAACAATGGAATCTTGAAATTTGCAGACAAATGGATGGAAGAAGAAGAAACCATCCTGAGTGAGGTAACCCAGTCACAAAAAGACAAACATAGTCTGTGTTCACTTTTGTATGGATTTTAGACATAGAGCAAAGGATTCTAGCCTAGAATCCACACTGCCAGAGAATCTAGGAAACAAGTAGGACCCTAAGAGAAATATACATGGTCTCCCAGAGTAGGGGAAAGGCCAAGATCTCCTGAGCCAAGGGGGAGCATGGGGGGAGGGGAGAGGGAGTTAGGACAAAGAGAAGGGGAGAAGAGGAGGGGAGAGGAGGACATGAGGGAGCAGAAAGATAGAATCAGGGAAGAAAAGAAGAAAACAAGAAATGAGATACCATAATTGAAAGAGCCATTATACGATTAAAGAGAAATCTGGCACTAGGAAAATGTCCAGAGTTCTACAAGGATGGCACCAACTAAGAATCTAAGCCATATTGGAGAGGCTACCTTAAATGCCCTTCCCCTATAATGAGATTGATGAGTACCTTGTATGCCATCCCAGAGCCTTCATCCTGTAGCTGATGGAAGCAGAAGCAGACACCCACAGCTAAACACTGAGTCAAACTCCAAGAATCCAGTTGCAGAAAGGGAGGAGTGATGAGCAAAGAGGTCAAGACCAGGGTGGAGAAACACACAGAAACAGCTGACCTGAACAAGGGAGTGCTCATGGACCCCAGGCTAATAGCTGGGAAATCAGCATAGGACTGTTCAAGAGACCCTGAACATGGGTGTCAGTTAGGAGGCCTGGGCAATCTCTGGGCCCTCTAGTAGTGGATCAGTATTTATCCCTAGTGTATCAATGGACTTTGGGAGCCCTTCCCACATAGAGGGATACTCTCTTGGCCTACATACAAGGGTGGGGGCCTAGGCCCTGCTCCAAATGATGTGACAGTCTTTGAAGATCCCACATGGAAGGCTTCACCCTCCCTGGGTAGCAGAAAGGGAATAGGATAAGGAGTCATTGGGGAGCAGGGGAGGAGGGGAGGGAGAGGGAACTCGGATTGACATGTAAAACAAGCTTGTTTCTAATTTAAATTAGAAAAAAAAGGAAAAAGGAAAGATTTTTTTGTATGGGGGCAGCAAGATGACTCAGCAGTAAGGCACTTGCTCAAAGACTGAGCACAAGAAATTGAACCTGGAAAATGCATGGTGACCTGAGAGAACCAGGACCAGAAGGTTCACTTCAACTTGATGCATAGCCAACTTTTGTGCCTCCCAAGTGGAAAAAATGTAAAAAAAATTGAAAAATTTATTTCACTTTTACATGATATAACTGATTCTTTCACAATGCTTTAGATTCCCATTCCTTAGAAAGGGAGAATAATTGTTCCTAATTTCTCTTTGGATCTTTTCTTGCTGAAAGACAGTCCTGCAACAACCCAACCATATTTTTCTTTAGGTTTAGTCATATGTACTGAGTCCATGTGTAGTTATTCACATCAAGAAAAGATCCCCTGTAAATAGTAATAATTCCTGGGAACTGAGAGTCACTTTGTGTTCCCCTAGTGGCCCCTGACCCTGCTAACAGTGAAACTTCACCAAGGGACCAGCGAAAGCCACCAGTGAGGATGGTGAAGGTAAGACTGTTTTCCTTTCTCTAAGGCAGAAAGGTTACATAAGTGCTCCCCTCATATTTCAGCGGGTAATATATTTGAATCATGAAACTGGTGTGAGGCATTAGAGCGTTTATTTAGTTGGAGGAGGGAATGTAACTGTACCTACTTGGTCTTGATTCAAGACAGCATACATCACAATATGGCACAATTTGTGTCCTGCTTTATGAGTGATTCCATCAAGGTGAGCGCCTATAATGCACACTAGTCCTCATGGTTTAAAGATCTGACAAGCTGAATACTGAACTTCCTCTAGCTGGACACACTAAACTTCCAACACATCAAGCTTTGGGTCATTTACTCAAGTTATTTCCACTCCACAGGCCCTGGAAATATAAAACATCTTATGGAAAAATACAAGTTTTCCTAGATGGTATGTGGTATAGGTTTTATAACCTCTAGAGGCCAGACAGGTTGCCTCATCTGCCTTTGATTCACAAAAGGTTTGAAAGGTACTAGTTTTTGTCAAAAAATAAGAGTCCCAGATCTCCTGTGACATCATCAAATAATGTACCCATTAATATAGTCTTCTCTTTATTGCTCTTCTCTGTCCTGATTGCAATTACACCATGTCATTGGATAAACCAAAGCCTTTACAAACATTACTCAAGATCATGGCATTAAATATTTTCTTTCCTATTGATTACAGGTGGTATCTAAAAAACACAGATCTGGTATGTATTGTTGGATCACTTTCCTAAGACACAGTTTAGAGACAAATTGTGTAAACACTCACTCTATTTTGTGTGATGCACCACAATGACCTAAGATACCTAATGACATGAGAATTGGAGTTTTAGATTTTTTTGTTACTTTTTTTTAGTGAAATGTCACACAAAATGAGAAATCTTAGATAAGTATATATTCCTTGTATTCCACAAGAATCCATTATAGTTTGAGTTACTGTGCTCTTTTCCCTAAAAAACACATGCCATTTTTGCAGCCCAATTTCCAGTGACAGATATGTAAATTGAAAATCAGATGCTCAAATGTATTCAAGCCTCATCTTAGTTATACAGGGTCAGTCATAGGTTTGTGTGTTCATCCATAAATGAATAAACCAGAGGTCAGAGATAGTGATGAGGCACTCTGACTCTCAAGAGACACTACTTATTCCATCAAGGACACAGTATTCCTGTCGAAGAGTTCTCCCTTCTTGCATCTGCCTGCAATAAGGCCAATCAATAGGGATCCCCAATGCCACAATGGCTGCTGTAGTGGTTAAAAGTCCAAGGTCATGTCTTCCAGCATGCAGCAGCCATTCATAGCATTGAATGTTAGACAATCACACATACTTCTTTTCAGGTGACAGAGACTCAACGATAAAATACAAAGGAAAGTGCAGTAGATGGTTCCAAATGATTTTCTTTTAGCCATAATGCATTCCAGTAAGTTCTGAAGAAAAGCGTAACAGATTGTACAACATCAACATGGGTACAAAGGGGGACACAATTTAGGGGCAGTGTGCCCTGAAGACTGCAGTCACCAACTGGAACTTGATCTATACCATCTCAGTCTTTGAGAATACAGTGTTTTCTTTTGGTTTGTATTTGAGACAGGAACACACTGTGTGTCTATACCTGTACTAGAACTACCTACACATATGCCACACTGGCCTGGAACTCATAACTTCACCTGCCTCAGCCTTCAGTGTGCTGATATTAAAGGAGGAGTGCTCTCTATATCCAATGAGAATACACCTTTGGTGGGGTGCTGGAGAGCAGAGTACTGAGAGGGAGCTGTGATTGACATGTAAAAGAAGCTGGTTTCTAATTTAAATAAAAATTATAATCATAAAATTAAAAAAAGTCTGAAATACTCTGTGCTCCAGAAATTTTCCGTCTTAGGAGTGGGCATTCCCTAAGTTTGAATGTGAGCACTCATTAGGCACATACAGTCAGCTGGGAAACACCACACTGTCACACTGACATGGATTTATGACTTCCCTACACCATAAATATAATACATTCTGGAGTATGCAGTGCACTCAATGATCTCCCTAGTCACCACTGTGACTCTGATGACAGTGCCTGCAGAAAAGTCATGTCATGAATGTAGAAAAGAAGAATGGTTTGGTCTATTGTCTGCCATGAAACTGTCATTGCTGTTACTGCATTCCCAGTGTCCAAAATCTGGAGGAAACTCTCTCAGAATAGTGCTGTTTTTCCTCGGGACACAGAAGAACCTCAAGTCCAAGCTGGTACTTCCAAACAAACTCCACAAAGTGAAATGGAAGGTACTGTTGAAATGCAATAATTTTGTTGGGTGATATATAGTAGTTGTGGATCTTAATTGTATTATAAAGGGTAAAGATGATGAACTTAGCATTAGTTTCCAAGGTAGATGATGTTAATTTGCATAGTTCATCAGTTGAATTCAGACAAAGAATTAAAAAGGAATTTTACATTAAGTGTTGAAGCCATTGAGTAACAATAAACATAGGAAAGGTTAACTCAATCTGCTCTCTGTCATTTTCACTTCACCTGAGGCAAGAAGGAATAGATGAACCAACTCTCTGTTACTTTCTCCCAGAAACTTTTAATGTAGATGAACTCAGTGTAAGCAAATTGACATGGTGATTTTCAAAATTGTCATCAGTTAGGACAAAATTTGAAACCGATAACAGCATTTCTGGACTGTCCCAAGTGGAGTGGCTCCCTGGAGTAGTGTGTCAGAGCCTGTGCTTATGGGAAAGAACAGTAGGGACAAAGAAATGGAAGGAGGTTTCTGTGCTTTTCCTCTTCCATTCAAAGGCATCATGGTAGTCTTGTCATGTTGAAAGGCTTAAGTACTCTTTGCTTCTGGCTCTGTCATTTGAAGGCAGACATTAACATTTAATGTTCTTCAGTATCTGTCACTCCCAAATGTCCAATTGTGCTTAGAAGCTCTCCATGGTATATGTGTACCTAAGGTACTTTTTCTTTGTTAAAATGCTATATCCCAAACATACCAAAGGTGGAGTGATCATTTTGTCATGCTATCATGAGTGTGGTGTGCATATTTGCTGAGAACCCATAGATCCAGGAGCCTGAGGCACAGGTTCAATGCAACATGAATAAGGCAATGGAGGGCTTATGCTCTGCTCACCTTCTCCCTTTACAGTTGTGGATCTCAGCCCCAGGCACAATACCACTTCTCAGTTAACCCTGTCAAGATAATGCTCTACTGCCATGGCCCTTATCATCTTGACATTTGTACCATCACAGTGTCCCCAAAAGGTAGTGATCAGTTTGGTGTTTCAATCTGTGATAAACCCAGTCTTTCTGGTGGAAGAGACCACCGCTTCCTGTGCACTAAAATATAAATATATAACTAAAGATCTTGCCAAGTCCTCCTAGTGGTGCAGAATAAGGAGATACTTTCCCTAGGTCCAGTGGGATATTGTAGTAGTGCCTAATTGTTCCTCTACTGACCATTTAGTCCCTCGTTAAAGGACATTCACAGACTGATAAATAAATAGTAGGTTACTCTGGTATGACCCCATTGTAACACTATCGATGTCGTGAAAAGTAAAGGCTTCATCTGTGTCTTCAGCTTTTAGCAGTCTATGCTCCTTAACTTTAACTGGCATACTGGGTGACTGAGTCAAGGCAGGTTACAGGCTGATTTCTATCTTGGACCCTTCAATTAATGGATGATGGGGGCAAACGGATCTATACTCAGACCCATCCTTGATGCTTTTAGAGGCATCCTTACTTCATCCTCCAAGATGCAGAGACTGAGTTTGTGAATTCTGTAAAATACTGCCCATACTCCTCAGATTAAAGGATATAGACATGAGGGGATTAGCTGTGTAGGCAACCATAGGATGTGTCTGTCCCTTGTGCTGTCAGCACTTGAGTCCCACCCACTTGGCATGGTCTGACATTTGTCATCTTTCCTGGGGACATGAAATTTGATCTAAGGAGTCTCTGTCCTCTCAGTGACTTCACTGCCATGTCCTCAGTAGGCTCACAAACTAGGCTCATCAGAAGTATATCTGCTTCTATGGATTCTCTCATTCTGAGGTGGCTTTGGGCTCCTTTTCATAGCGTGTATCTGTAGGTTGAATTCATAGTTTCAATCTGATTCTGAGCTGTGTGTGATTCTACTTCTGTCTCCCAGCTTTCAGTCTCCCTTCCTAGTACTCCTGGCCCCTATCCTTCCCAGCTTCTTCTCTTTCATGATTACTATGTGTCTTGGTCTGGCATGCCATGGAGGCCTGTGTGGTCCAATCCACCGGTTCCTTTATTGGTGATTCTGTGTATTGGAAGACATTGTCTAGGCAATGTGGACTAACTCCCATACATGCTCTTCAGCCTCAGTCCTGGGTATCCTAGATATTTCCTCAATCCCCACATAGCTCATGAGATTGAAAAGGTCACTAGGAGAGAACAGCAAAGAACCCTTAGAACAGGTTTGTACCTTGAAAGGCAATTGGATCTCTAATAAAGGTGGATCAGACCTTTACTACATGGACATAGGTAATTGTCTACTGGTGGCCAGCTGAGCCTGAATAGAGGGGCAATTACCCTGTACTCAAAATCATCTCAGGGATTGGATGTACTGTGTGATTTTTATCATAAAATTTTTTTATGGGGCCAGTAACATGGCTCAGCGGTAAAGGCACCTGATGTAAGACTGAGGACAAGAAATTGAACCTGGAAAATGCATGGTAGATTAAGAGAATCAGGCACAGAACGTTGAGTTATACTTGATGAACAGCCAACTGTTGAGTCTCCCAATTAGAATAAGTGTAAAAAGACAGTTTCAAAGATTTATTTTATCTTTATATTATACAACTGGTTTTTTTTTACAATGCTTTAGTTTCCCTTTCCACATAAGGAAAAAATATCTCTCTCTTATTTTTCTCTTGATCTTCTTTCTGCCTTAATTTACCTACCTCAAAGACAATCCTGCCACAGCACAATTATACTGCTTATTAGGTTCAGTTATATATGCCAACTAAATGCACTTTTGCCCTAATCAAGATAAGATTTCCTGTAAATATTCTGTGTGCTAAGCGTCACTTTCTTTGTCCATAGTGTCTCCTGAACCTGCTAACAGTGAAGCTTCACCAAGGGTTCAGCGAAAGCCTCCATTGAGGATGGTGAAGGTAAGACTTTTCCTTTCTCTAAGGCAGAAAGGTTACATCAGTGGTCCCCTCATGTTTCAGTGGGTACCACATTTGAATCATGAAACTGGTCTGTGGTATCATGGGCATTAGAGAGTTTATTTGGTTAGAGGAGGGAATGTAACTGTACCAACTTGGTCTTGATTCAAGACAGCATACATCACAATGTGGCACAATTTGTATCCTGCTTTATGTGTTATTCCATCAAGGTGGGTGCCTCTAGTTACACTATAGTTTTAAAGATCTTCATGATTTAACGATCTGACCAACTGAACACTGAACGTCCTCAACCCAGACACACTAAACTTATCAAGCTTTGGGTCACATACTCAAGTTATTTCCAAACCACAGGCCCTAGGAACAGAAAACATCTTAGAAAAAAATACAAGTTTTCATGGATGGTATGTGATGTAGATTTTGTAACCCTCTAGGGCCAGACAAATTTGCCTCATATTCCTTTGAATCAGAAAAAGTATGAAAGATACTAGTTTTTGTCACAAAGTACAGAGTCCCAGATCTTCTGTGACATCATCAATTAATGTACCCATTAATATAGTCTCAAGGTTAACTCTTGAATCCCAGGCATAAGCCTGGGAATCCAGCATGGGACTGATCAAGACCCCCCTGAATCTGGGTGTCAGTGAAGAGGCCTAGGGAATCTATTGAGCCTTGGGCAGCAGATCAGTACCCATCCCAAGTATACACACGGACTTTGGACTCCCATAGAACAATGTGAGGTGCACTCTCACCCTGAACTCTTGGGGAAGGGTCTAGGCCCTGTCCTATATGAAATGACAGACTATGCACACCCCCATGGAGGGCCTCACCCTCCCTGGGGAAATGAGGGGATAACGGGGGGGGGAGGGTTGGGGGGAGGGCACGGGAGGAGGGGAGGGAATGGGAGAGGGACCTGGAACTGACTTGTGAAGCAACCTCGTTTCTTATCTAAATTTAAACTGGAAAATAAAATAAAAAAAAGAAATAAAAAAAATATAGTCTCCCCTTTACTGTTCTTCTGTGTCCTGATTGCAATTACACCATGTCATTGAATAAACCAAAGGCTTTGAAGACATTACTCAGCATGATCATGGCATTAAATATTTTCTTTACTATTGATTACAGGTGTCTTCTAGAAAATGCATGTATGGTATGTATTTTTTAATCACTTCTATGACACAGTTTAAATAGGAATTATGTAAACACTGTATTTTGCATGATGCACCACTATAATCTAAGATGCTGTTAATTAGAATTATGCCTTTAGTTGTGTGTTTCTTCTTTAAACAGAATAGTTGAAGAAACCAAGTAAAAACTCATAGATATATCTTTGCTTATTTTGCTCACCAGTGAAACCTTTTGTTTAATTTTGTGTGTTGTGCTCCAAGTTGTGTCTAAACCTTTCCCCCCAAAAAAACATGCATGCCATTTTCCCAACGCAGTTTACAGTGACATATAATAAATTGAAATATCAGAATACAGATTAACTATAAAATGTACTCAAACCTCATCACAGCCATGCTTTGTCAGGCATGTGGTTTTGTGCTCATTCCTATGAATAAAGCATAGTTCAGAAGTATTGATGAAGCTCTTTTGCTGTGTATCTTGAGAGCCACTTTTACCACATCAAAGCACAATAATCCCTATAGAAGACTTCCAGTTTCCAGAATCTGCCTGCAATAAGGCAAATCTACAGGGATCTCAAATACAAACATGACTGTGTTGTTCAGCTATTGTCATTCAGCAGGCAGAAGATAGTCGGTTTGAAAGGTAGAGAAGCACACATACTTCTTTTCTGGTGACAGAGCCCAATAATGAAACCCAGTACATGGGAATGTGGAGTGTATATGTCCCAACTGGCTTTAGCATAGACATGGCTCATTCTAATAAGGTCTGGAGAAAAGTTTAAGTGGGTTGGAAATATTAGTATACACAAAGAGCAACACAATTTAGGCAGAGTGTTTCTAATAATCACTTGGAATACTGATCAGTGCAATCTCATTCTTTAAGGAATTAAGGGTATTGTTTTCTGGTTTTGTTTTTGAAGCAGGATCTCGCTGTGTATCTGTGGCTGTACTAGCACTACCTGTATATATAACTTTATGGCCTGGATATCATACAGCTCTACCTGTCTAAGCCTACAAGTGCTGTTATTGAAGGAATGCACTATACCACACCCCCTCCCCATGGGACTACACCTTTTTATTTTTATTATTTTTAAATTTAAATTTAAATTAGAAACCAGGTTGCTTCACAAGTCAGATCCAGGTCCCTCTCCATTTCCTTCCCCTCCTCCCGTGCCCTCCCCCCGACCCCCTCAATATCCCCTCATTTCCCCAGGGAGGGTGAGGCCCTCCATGGGGGTGTCCATAGTCTGTCATTTCACCCAGGGCAGGGTAGACCCTCCCCCAAGAGTTCAGGGTGAGAGTGTACCTCACATTGTTGGATGGGAGTCTAAAGTCCATTTGTATACCCGGGATAATAGATTACCTAGGTCTCCTCACTGACACCCACATTCAGGGGGTCTTGATCAGTCCCATGCTGGATTCCCAGGCATCAGCCTGGGATTCAAGAGCTAACCCTTGTCAGGTCAGTTGTTTCTGGGGGTTAAACCAGCCCAGTCTTAATCCATTTGGTCATCAGTCCTCCCTCTCTGTTAACTGGCTTTCTTGAGTTCAGCTCAGTGTTTAGCTGTGGGAGTCTGCCTCTTCTTCCATCAGCCACTGAATGAAGGTTCTGTTTCCCAGACTCTCTGGCCAAGGGATTGTAGGCTGGCACTCCTCAGATCTATGTCTAAAATCCATATATGAGAGAGTACATGCCATGTTTCTCTTTCTGTGACTGGATTAACTCGCTCAGGATGGTTTCTTCTAGTGCCATCCATTTGCCTGCAAATCTCAGTATTCCATTGCTTTTTCTGCTGAATAGTACTCCATTGTATAAATGTACCACATTTACTCTATCCAGGGACTACACCTTTAAAGGTTGGATAAAATCTATGTTTCAGGAATTTTTCCTCTCAGGGTGGTCAGTCTCCATGTTTTGAAGTTCACACTGAGCAGTGAATCGTGTGGCTCAGTATATTATTTCAAGTGTATCCTGCATAATGTATCTACTTTCAGTACTTTGTAATGTTGTCGTTTGCATAAGGGAAGCTATTTGCTAATATGGGCTGGAGCTTTGGCCTTATTGCCTCATTGCAGATCCAGAGTTTCTTAGTTCTGCTTAAAATATACCCAGGATGGTTCAGTCCTATTAATCCTTGTCCGTAAGAAGTGGAAGAAGTAGAAACACAAGTTCAATGTCTTTCTTTGCTCTATAGTGAATTTCAGGCTAGACTAGACTAGAGATCTTTTCTGATAAAAGAAAAGAAAACAATAATACAGAGAAGGTAAGCATGAACAGGTATGGTGCACTCTCAGTTCTCCTGTCCATGAGTAACCAATACAAACCTCATGCTACCTGGGTTCACTCATATATAATTGACTCTGCTGCCATTTAGCAGACACCACAGAGCATTTCTGCTTTGTGCTTTTCCTTGAGGAGGTTTTGTTTCTATGCTTACATGTATATACATAGATGCATACATATTTGTATATTCATGTATTTTGAATTGAGAAGTCTCATAGGGAGTCAAGTATATAGCATCCTAGTGAAACCCACATGGAAGTTAGGGAGTTATAAATTTTACTGTGTTTGTGTGACTCTAAAAGAGATTTGATTTTGCTTGTTAGGTACAACTCCAATGTAACATAGTCATGTTTCTCTTCTTTTTGTGCTGCCAAGTTGACATGAATTTATGACTTAACTACACCATACATGTAATGCATTCTGGAGTGTACAGTGCACTCAGTGAATTTTCTAAGGCACCACTGTGACTTTGAGTAGAGTGCCTGGAGAATTGTCATGAGATAGAATGCACAAAACGGAACCATTGTTGATTTCCTCTGTTTTCTATGCCATGAAGCTGACATAACTCTCACTGTTGTGAATGCATTCCCAGGCTCACATTCATTGAGACAAATGTGTTGGAGGTGCCCTGTTGTTCGCAAATTTTCTAAACAACCTGAAATCCAAGCTTCAGCTTTCATAGAGGGACCACAAAGTGAAATGGAAGGTACTGTCAAAATGCAACAATTTGATTGCATTTGTTGTTTCATAATTATAGATCATTCTGTGTGTGAAAAATCTATGAATGAATTAGCCGTATTCTCTTAAGTAGATACTATTAATTTGCTGTCTCGGTCATTGTCACTTCACCTGGTACAGGCAGGAATAGGTGGGCTACCCTATTACATTTAATGTAGATGAACTGAGTGTAAACAGTTTCAGGATTACACATGGTGTTTGTCAAAATTGTTAAGAGTTAGGACAAAATTTGAAACAGGTAATAGCATTTCTGGACTGTCCCAAGTGGAGTGGATCCCTGCAGTAGTATGTCACACCCTGTGCTTGTGGGAAAGAACAGCAGGGACAAGGAAATGGCAGGAGGTTTCTGTGCTTTTCATCTTCCAAAGGCATCATCGTAGTCTTGTCAGGCTGTCAGGCTTACCTATTCTTCTGGATCTAACATTTGAAGGCAGACTTTTAACACTTGATGCTTTTCAGCACTTATCACTACCAAATATCCAATTGTGCTTAGTAGCTCTCCATGGAATTTATGCCTAAGGTACTTTCCCAGATGACCAAAACATGTCAAAGAAGGAGTGCTTGTCTTGCTGTGTTGTCATGAGGGTGGTGTTCATATTTGCTGAGAACCCATAGATCCAGGAGCCTGAGGCACAGGTCCAGGGCAACAAGAATAAGGCAAAGGAGGGCTTATGCTCTGTTCACCTTCTCCTTATATAGTTGTGGATCTCAGCCCCAGGAGCAATACCACTGACAGTGGACGGTTTACTTCCTCAGTTAATCCAGTCAAGATAATGCCCTACTGCCATGACCCAGAGATCTGGCCCTTATCATCTCGACTTTTGAGATTACCTATCACAGTGCCCCCAAAAGTTGGTAATCAGTTTGGGGTTTTAATATATGATAAACACAGTCTTCCTGATGGAAGACCACCTCCTCTGTACACTTAAATATACATATAAATGAAGGTGTTACAAAGTGGTCCTGGTGATACAGAATAAGCAGATACTTTCCCCAGGCCCCTTGGAAACTGTTTTAGAAATGCCTTCTTACTCATCTGTTGTCCATTTTGTCCTTCTTTAAAGGACATCCACAGGGTAAACTGCTAAATACCTAGCAGGGTTCCCTAATCTGGTTTCATTGCAACACTCGCAATGTCTTGAAAATTAAGGATATAATTAATGTATGTCTTTTGGTTCTTTTCAATACATGCTCCTTATATTGGAATGCATACAAATGATTGAGTCAAGAGAGGTCAGAGCCTGTTATTTATCTTGGATCCTTTGACTTAATGAATTGAAAGAGTCTGCATTCTGGCTCATCCTTAGCGCCTTTTGAGGCTCCCTTGATTCAACCTCCAAAAGGCAGAGGCTGGGTTTGAGAGTTGTCCTGGGTTTACTCCTCAGGATAAAGGATATAAATTCATGGGGATCAACTCTCCTGGTACCCATCTGATCTTAGGCTATGTCTGTCCTCTGTGGTGTCAGTACTTGAGTGTCTCACTCTTGGCATGGTCTGACCTGTCTCTTCAATGCAACATCAGCTTATAATATAAGTAATCTTTTTCCTCACAGGGGCTTCATTATTGCTTCTTGAGTAGGTTCATAGCTGAGGCTCATCAGAATTATGTCTGCTTCTCCTGGATTCTCTCATTTTGCAAGTGGGTTTGGAACCAATCATAGGCTAGGCCTGTAGATTTAATGCACAGTGTTTATTGATTGTAAAGTCAGGCTCCTGCTTATGACCTGTATGTGTCAGAGACAGGATTCCACTTCTAACCCCTCCCTTTCAGTCTCCCTTATTGCCTCTTGCCCCGATACCTCTATAGCCACTTCTCCTCTTTTGTAATCTCCTTGTTGACTCAGGACTATAGGTCTGGAGATTCATGGAGGCCTATGTGGTCTCTTCTACCTGCTACATTACTGTTGCTGCTGCATACTGGAACACATTGTTCATGCAATGTGGGCAAACACCAGCCATGTCTGCAGCCTTTACCCTTGATGTACTAGACCTTGTTGTGTTCTCTAGATGTCTTTAATCACAAAACATAGTCTCTTGATGAGACTATCAAGATCACTGGAAGAGAACTGAAAAGAATTCTTCTGGGGGCAATATGCCAGGAAAGACATTTGAATCTCAGTAGGTCATCTGGATCAAACTTTTGTTAGATGTACAAAGGTACATCCTCATTTTTCTCCAAGTCTTCCTTCTGCCTTAGTTTGCTTTATGGGAAGGCAGTCTAGCAACAACAGACCATCTTGTTCATGAGATTTAGTCACCTGTACCAAGTAAATGCATTTTTACTCACACTAAGTAAAGACCAGTGTAAATAGTAAGCAGCCCTATGAACTGTCACTTTCTGTCCCCCTAGTGTACCCTGAACATTCTAACAGCATAGCTTCACCAGTGGGCCAGCAAAATCCACAAGGAAGGATGGAGAAGGTAAGAGGGCCTTTCCTTTCTCTGAAGTAGACAGGTTACCTCAGTGGTCCCCTTTAGTTTCAATGGGCATCACATTTTAATCATTAAAGTGATCATGTTTTTGTTGTTGGCGGTGATGGTGGTGTTTTTATGCTTAAATATTTTTCTGCGTGTGTATATTTGCACCAGGTGGGAACTTGGTACCAAGGAGGACAGAAGCACTATGTGGGTTCTGGGAATCAAATCCCAGTATGAGCGTATATTTCTGTATGAGGGTATCAAATGCCCTGTAACTAGTTTCAGATGGGTGTGAGCTGCTGCCATGTGGATGCTGGGAATTAAACCTGGGTTCTCTAGAAGAGCCAGTATTCTTAAAATCTGAATCATCTATCCAGCCTCATGTTTTAGAAGTCCTAATGTTGCTGTATACACTAAGCTATTGACACATCAAACTTTGGATCACATTCTCAAATTATTTCCACCATAGGCCCTAGAAACAGAAAATATCTTAGTGAAAAATACAAGTTTTTATAGAGGGTATGTGATGTAGGTTAGGGAACCCCCACTAAAGGCCAAACAGGTTTTCCTGATCTGCACTTGAACTGGAAAAAAAATATGAAGGGTACTAGTCTTTAGCACAAAGGACAGACCCCCAGATCTTCTGTTACATCGTCAAGTAAGGAGTCCATTAATATAGGTGCCACATGACTGCTCCTTTCTATACTGATTATGTCAACTACAGACATTTTTCAACATGATCTAAATTTTATTGTTTCCTTTCTATTACAGATGATATATAAAAAACGCAGATGTGGTATGTACTATAGACTCTAAGACACATTTTAGGTGGGAATTGTATGAATACTGGTTCTTTTTGTGATTGACCACTGTGATTTAAGATAATGAGAATTACAGGTTTTTATATTTTTGTTTGGATTTTAAAGAAAGTGATATCCCAAATAACAAATCATGGCCATGTGTCTATTGTTGTCATGTTCAATTATGATTCATTTAGTTATTTGGAGGATTTGTTCACCAAGTCGTATCTAAATTTTTCCCAAAGAAAAACATCCCAGCTACCCAACCCAATTTCTAGTGATAAGTTTGTAAATTGAAAAATCAGAATACAGTTTATCTACAAAATTGTGTTCAAACTTCACCACAGCCTGGCAGGGTTGGGTTACATGCTTGTGTTCCTTCATATATGAATAAACCAGAGCATGGAGACAGTCATAAGGCTCCTTATCTATGCATCTCAAGAGCCACTTCTTATCCCATCAAGGATATCATGATCCCTGTGGGAAAGTTCTGCTTTATTGCATCTGCCTGCAATAAGGCAAATCCGTAGGGATCCCAAACGCTACAATGACTACTGTAGTGGTTAGAAGTCCTAGGGATGTCATTCACCATATAGCACATAGTCATAGTTTTGAAAGGTAGAGAAGCATACATACTTCTTTTCAGGTAATAGAGCCTGAGAATGAAATATAGTATATGGAAAAGTAGGGTGGATATGTGCCAACCTGATTAATCATAGACATGCTTCATTCCAGTAAGATCTAGCAAAAAAATTAGCAGATTAGACAACATCAACATGGGCACAAAGAGGCACGAAATTTAAGTACAGTGTCTGTTGAAAATTCTAGCCATTTGTTTAATGAATACATTTAAATTTTTATTTCTTTTTAAGTTTTTTATAAACTGCTTATTTATCTCTCATGACTCTTACAAATCCACTCTCCCTTTTTACCTTTTCCCAAATTTATATCCTTAAAAAATAACTTTCTAGCTCATTTTATACTAAACATACACTCAAACATGTAGAGGCAACCACTAACACGGGGTTGACCTTCCAGGGTCAACACTTTTAATTCAAACTCTCCCTTCCTCAAATAGAAGCCATAAATTATCCATAGCTTCTCATTTAAGGGTGAGAACAGCTTCCCTACAAGCCAGTATTGACCTCTTTCATCTTGTACAGGTCTTCTGCAAGAGCCATCAATATACTTTTAAAGGAGAGCTAGACTGAGCAACAAGGCCACTTCCTCTCATGGGTAGTTAGACTCCATGTTGCCTATTACATTTTTACTCTCGGTGGATCTACATAGTCAGCAGGGAAGAGTGTCACTGGGTGTCATTCTGTCCACATTGGTGTGTCTGCATGTTCAGGCTTTCACTAGTGAGCTGATGTGTTAAGTGGATCTATTTTGGGGATTGGCTTAGTACATACTTATCATGTAATTAAAAACCTGAGTTTCATGCCGAGTACTCCATAGAATGTTCCCATGATTGGACAATCTTTGATTTAGAGTGGTGGATGCAGGAAAGCTATAAGTTCAAGACTAGCCCATTTTAAATAGTAAATTTTAGCCCTTCTTAGGTTAGAGGTCTTTTTACCAACAAAAGGAAACAAATAATCAATAAAAAACAAAAGTAATGAAATGAAATAGAAGAGGCTCCTATAAAGATCTGTTGATGGAAAGAGAGTGTATACAAACTGACTTTGCCCTTAGCAGGATGACTAAATTCCAGAGGATAGTCATATACTCATGAATATATGATCAGTGCAAATTGATCTTGGTGGGTTTTTAGGAAAAGTAAAAATAACACAAAGCTAATAATGAGTGGAGTGATATGAATGAACCAAGAGAGTTACGGTTATAAGTGAGGATGAATATGGCTAAATACGTTTTATGGAATTCACAAAGAATTAAGTATTTTTAAAATTTGGATGAGCAAACAGTGAGCCGATATGGTCCACACTCATTACTTATGTAACCATTGCCTTTCTCTTATCTACTAGCACCTAGAGAGGGAGTCATTACATCACTAAGCACCAAATCCTTTTTCATGTCCGTTCACATTGAGAGTTGGCCAATTTAAGAAATTTTTTTCCAACCTTGATGTGACAATTTCATTTAGAATAACTTGGAGTTTAGTCATCATGGAAGACACACAAGCATAAGTCACCTCTCAGTATGGGTACTTGATGATCAGAATCACTTGCTGGCAGGATGCACATGCTGGAGAAAGGATGTGTTTACTAATTCAGAGACCTTCTACAACTTATTTTGGAGGAAATTCATAATTTGAATCAGAGATTAAAGTCAGAGCATCTTTCTCTTTGGTTATTTATGTCAAGGAATTTAGTCAGAACATCGTGGTCATAAACTAATATGGTACCCAAGGTTAAAAAGTTAGAGGAATACACAGATATTTACCTTCCATACTCACTTAAAGTGATGCCACATGTTCTTCATGAACTGTAAAATATCCTGGATAAGCAAAGGATAAAAAGTGAACAACCATTGGTCACTATCTTGTGGAAAACTAAGCACTTGCCCAGGATTCAGTCATTTCTGTCTAGTTTAGTTGTTTTCACATTTCACAAACAGCATGGAACACTTGTGCAGTTCATGTGCTTTTCCTTATGCTTTAACATTATATATTTTTGTTTTACACTGATAATACTCCTGGGTATCCTTATGAAAGTTTTAGTTCACTGGTGCAAAGATGTGACCTCAGAGAGAATGCGTGGATATAGCAGTGTCATGATGCTCTAAATGGAATTTGAAAGATGCCTATAAGACACTATACCAACATAGTCATGCTGCTCTTCTTTCTCTGTTGTCAATCTGTTATTAGAGTTTACCCTATTGTCACATCTGTATCAATTTAGACTTTACCTACATCATTGTGTGATGCATAATTAATTGGACACTGAACTCAGTGATCATCTTGAAACACCATACTAATTATAGTGACTTACCTGAAAATAAATGAGGAGATCAAATGTACAAACACTCGGCTATTATCAGTTTCCTGTTTATCTGCATGAAGTTGACATAACTCTCACTGTTGTGAATTCATTCCCAGTTTCTGCCGTCTTAAAGGAAATTTATCAAAAGCAACATATGGTCCCCCTTAATGAGGACAAACCTCAAGACATCACTGGTACCTCCAGAGAAAAACCACAAGTAAAAACAGAAGGTACTGAGGGAATTCAGTAATTATGTTCAGTTATGTGTAATAGATGCCCTTTATGCTATGCACTACATGTAAATATATGGAAAGGTTTTGTTGTAGTTTTTAGTAAGTAGATACTACTTATTTCTCTAGCTCTTCAGTAGAAATACAATCACAGAATTTAAATATGCAGTTAAAGATCACCTTTGCCTTTCATTGAGTAATGGTAAACCAGAGGAAAGGTGAGACTTATCTTGTATGAGTGAATGTGGCTTCACCATGGGTAGATATGAATGACTGAGTTACCCTTAGTGTCACTTTGTCCCAGACATAGATAATGCAGATGTGGAAAGTCTCAAAAGTGATCTGTTAATGTCCAAATTCTCAAGAGTGAGGATGAAGTTTAAGCTAGATAAAGGCATTCCTACTCAGTAGGTCCCGTGTGAGAGGGCTTTAGGGGTGGACATCTTAGACCTTGTGCTTGGAAGGCTAAAGGAGTGGATCAGTAAGAACACAGAGACATGAGGTTTCTGTGCTTTTCCTCTTTCCAATGCATAATGGTTATTATTCAGATTCTGTATTTCCCAGAACACATAAAGTTCTTCATCTGCTACACCAATGCCTATTGGTATAGGTCTCTTTGAAAGTTTTGTTAGGATTGCATTCCAGATGCAGGGAGCAAGGAAAGGTTTACTTTGCCATGGAGTTTGAGTTTGGAGTTCATAATTGGGAAGCAATAGATAGAAGCAAAAACTCGAGGGAGAGTGACATTTCAACCAGAGCCCAGAATCAAAGAAAAATCAGTGAATGTACTTTGCCGACTTTTCTTCCTTTTATATAGTCCAGGATCCCATCCAAGGGAATGATTGTACCCACAGGGAACAGGTTTTCCCATCTAACTTAATCTAATCAAGATAAACCCAGGAACACACCCAGAGGACACAGGTCTACTCAGTTTCAGCGTCATGGAGCCAATGAAGGGTTGTTTTCACTTTTGAGTATGAACCTGTGTCAAAGCCAACTTAAGGTCTTATAGTATAATCCCAAAGAAGTGGAGAAGTGGGTTCTGTCCCTTCTTCTCCCAGGTCTGTGGCAGCACTTCGTGATCATCTCTTCCCTGTGAATCCCTGCTTTCCATGGATCCCACATTGGCTTTTTGTTCCATAAAATCCCCAAGGCTGCAATGTCCTGGGAGTAAGGGCTCAGTGTACACCTTTACAGTTGGTGTGCCTCACCTCATACTGGCTACAAAATGGCTGAGACAAGGGAGGTTACAGGTCCCACATCCATCTTGGAGCCTCTGACCTGTTAGGTGGGGCATGATCTGAACTCTAGCACATGCTTGCCCCCCTTCCAGAAATTCTTGATTCAACCTCCAATATTCAGAACATGGATTTAGGAGTTCTAGTAAACACTACAGTTGTTCCTTGAAGTAAAGGACTATAAGCACTTGGGAATCTGCTCTCTTGGCACCTGTCTGGTCATAGGGTAGTATCTGACCTCTGTGCTGTCAGTATTTGTGCCTTTACTTAATATAACCTTACCTGTCTTGTCTTATTTAGGGGAAGGAGTTCATACTCTTAGAAATGACTTTCCTGTGTCTTTCCTAGAGCCTCTTCATTAGGATGGAGTCTCTTGTTCACCACAAGTGTGTTGGCTTCTCTTGTGTTTTCTAATTGTTTAGCTGTGTTTGGCTTCACCATGGCAGGCAGTATTGGGAGGATTCATGCATTGCTTTACTCACTGTATACTCCTGGTCTCCTGTTTGTGAGTAGTGTGTCCTTTAGAGCACCAAGATCCCACCTCTAGCCTCATACACCTCAGTATCCCTTCTTGCCTTTTATCTTTCTCCAGAAGTTTCCCAAGTGCCATTTTGATTCTGCATTCTTTGCATAGATACCCATAGATTCTTGGAGGCTCCCTTCCACCAATTTTCTTGTTCCCAATACTGCATGCTAGAACACACTATCCACAGAATATAACTTAGCCCTCTGACATGCCCCCACCCTCAGTCTGGAGTGTTCTTTTCGTTTTCCATTGTCTCTTCATCACCAAACTCACTGGACAGATAAGACCATTGAGAGTAAAGAGTATAGAACCCTGCTTAGGGACACTGTACCCAGACAGTAATTCAAGTCTTAGTAGTTTACATGGTTCAGTCCTTAATCTGGTGGACCACGCTATAGGGCTCCTGATGACCAGCTATGGCATGGATATGTGAAGAGAGAAGAAAGAGCTGAACTCAAAGTCAGTCAGAGGAAATCTCATAAACAGGGCAAGGCTATGTACATTAGAACAACAACAAACCCAGAAAAGGTTGTTCCAAACTTTAGGGATTGTAAGGAAGAAGTTAAAAGAGTGACTGACAGTGTCCATCACATTAATCCCTTGTGAAACCAGCAGTGACATGACACAAATTAGGGCAGTATCTTGGCCCAAACTTGAACCAACACTTCATTATGTTTCCACTAGTAGCTGAGCCTGAGACAGCCTTTTATGTACAGAATGCCTCCTTGACATTGACCTTGCGCAAACAGGATTTTCCTTAAAGATTTGTGTCAGCTGTACCAAGCTTACATGTGTAGTACATGGCCTAGAAGATAAAATATACATGTGTAAATTATAGGCATTATCTTTTTTTACAGTTTATTTCCACAAAATACATACAAAGTATGATTAAAATATTAAATTCTATTATTATCTACATACTTACAGGCCATATATTGTGATTTTCATTTGAGAGATTTGCAAACAAAATCAACACATCATTTCAAATAGCTTTATAAGATTAATTTCAGGTTAATTAATGGCTCAGTGGGGAAGAACAGTTGCTGGAAAACAGTAGATGTGAGCTTGAGTCTGCTCACTCACATAAAAATGTCTGGATAGAGTTGTTCACGCTTATAGTATTACAATGTTGGGGGAACAAGCAGGAGTATTTCTGGTGCTTCCTGACTGTCATTCTATCTCTGGCTTCTGTGAGAGACCCTGTCTGAAAGAAAGGAAAAGGCACGCACGTGCGCGTGCACGCACACACACACACACACACACACACACACACACACGAAAAAATTATCTGAAATACATTTACACGACTGCAACAATCTTGTAACCAATTTCTATTACTGTTGCAATAAGGTCAAACATCTCACACATATGGTAACCTCCTTGGAATTCTAATCACAGAAGTTGTGTGGCTTTCTCATATAGTTCTCTACTTCTAAAAAATGTAGCATTTCAGTTGTTGGACTTAAGCCTTCATTTCAGACAACTGCCAGACAACAAAAAGCTTAATGTTAACAGGAAAGATTTTAGGAAGTAGAATATTCTGTGTGATTTTTACTTCATGAAAGGTCATATTCCTAGCATGTTGAATTTTCAGGTTACTTGTACTTTGCTAAGGGAACTTCCCAAAAGGGAAGAGAAAAATGTAACTAAATTATATTTTCAAAAATTAAAATGGAGATGGGAAATCCCCTTTCCCCCAAAAGCACAAAAATGTGCTGGCACAGTTGTTTTTTTTAACTTGTCTCAAACCAGAGTCATTTGGAAAGAGGAAATTTCCATTCAGAAAATGTTTCCAACCAGCTTCACCAGTAGGCAAGCGTGTGGTGCATTTTCTTCATTGGTGACTAATGTCTGAGGGCCCAGCTCACTGTAGGCAGTGCCGCCCCTATGGTGGTCTCACCGGGTGCTGTAAGAGAGCAGGCTAAGCGAACCTTGGTGAGCAAGCCAGCAAGCATCACTCCCTTGCATCCTCTCCTGATTCTGGGTTCTTGCACTGTTTAGTCCCTGTCCTGACTTCCCCCGGAAACTGAGTGTAAAAAGAAAAGTGTATGCTGAAATAAATTCTCTTTCCACAAATTGTTTATGATCATAGTGTGTTGTCACACCAATAGAGACCTTAAATAAGACACTATGTGACCTGTTAAGGAGAATGGGATTATGTCATTTGCAGAAAATAGGTGTAAAACAAAAATGGAAAGTAGATGTAAGTGAATATAATTGTCGTGATAAATGTCAAATGTTACATTGAAAAAGACCAAGTGATTTCTTTCATTTGAAGGCCTATGTTTTTATGTAAAAATAAAATTGCATATGTGTGTATGATGTGAACATATTAAAGGAGCAATAAAATGGAAGAAGACAGGTGGTGTAGGTACAATCTTACATATAAGTGCCTTTATGAAACCGGTACATTGTGTGATGGAGTAGCTACACCATGCCAGCTGAAAAGGATATAGTTCCTTATTCTGACCTCTGTCCAGTGTTCCTTTTAAATTTGAGATATATATTAATTTTTCTCTTTTTTGTGTAGTAATTCCATAAATGTTGTTCTTGATATATGTTGATTGTTTCCCAGACTGCTCTGCTAACTCAACATAGAACTTAAAATTTTGGAATTTATGATTGGTTCTTTCACATTGTACTTTGGATAAATTCTTAGATAATGTGAATTTGGAAAGTGGTGCCTTGCTTCCTTTATGCATTTGGCCATGGCTCACAGAATTGTGTTGTTATGTGCAGTTGTCTCAGTACTTCCCTAGAATTTTTCCCAGACTCCTGAGTACCAGTATCGGAAACTAATCAAGCCTTTATATTACTCTGTGTCTTATAAGGCCATAACACATACATGTACTCCACGTTCCTTAAAAACCTGTAGAATACTGACAGTACTCAGTACAGTATAGCCAAATATAGTACATGATATGCTGTATTTTAGGGAATGATGTAAATACAACATAGACAAAACATTTCCTAAATATAATCATCCTAGTAAAGTTTCCCAAGTAAAATGGATACATTAACATGAATCATAATTAATGATAAATTCTGATAAATATATGTGGATTGGAGGAGGTTGATATAGACTTGAGACATGTGCCTCAGGAAGTGCCAATTGTTTCCTGCTTCAAAACAGGAATTGACAGTATTCTGTCTCTTAATCATAAAGCTTATTTTACTAGAAAAGATAGCTTGGATCAGTACATAATGACTTTTCAGCCAAGCCTGCCAATGTAACTGCAGTTGAATCCCAGAACTAACATGGTGAAAGGAGAAAACCAGACCTCTGAAAAGCTCCTGTGAACTCCACCTGCACACAGAGACACTTCCATGGATTCCTTCAACAAAAATGAATGGAATGCATATTTTAAAAGATTTTTTTACTGTTCAGGATTTTTTCCACATTGATTTAGATTCCCATTGTCTAGAAAATGAAAAGTTCTGTTCCTCATTTCTCTTCAATTTTTCTCTTTGCCATAGTTTGTTTTCCAGCAATATAATCCAGAGTTCTGGAATGAGCAGAAAACAAACCACGCTTAACACTGTGGCTGGCTCTTAAGATCCCATTCCTCATACTGGATTGCCTTACCCAGCCTTAATACAAGGGGAGGAGCTTATTCCTATGACAACTGTTATGCCATGCTTTGTTGATACCCATGGGAGGCCTGCCCCTTTCTGAACAGAAACAGAGGAGGAATGGATTGGAAAAAAATAATTAGATCAAGTCACGTATGCTGGATACGTAGACTTGTGCACACATCAAACAAACATCTGTGGGGTAACTAAAAGCAACACCATGTGTTGAGAAATTACTTTCTGTCCTTTTAGTGGAACATAAAAATGCTGACATGGCACCTTCACCAGGGGAACAGAGAGAGCCACCAGCGATGATGGCGAAGGTAAGATGGACTTTCCTTTCTCTAATATAAGTTACTTCATCCTCTTATGTTATAGTGGATATTAAATTTGATTAACAAAAGCCAGGGGTATCATGGGTTTGCTCAGGAAGAAAGGGAAGTAGAATTGTACCAACATGTTCCTGATTGAACTGAACCTGAAAGCTTACAGTGTCATTTATCCCAGGTTGTATGAGAGGCTGATTTCTCCTAAAGAAAGGGGTTCCACTTTAGATAAGTGTATAATTTTCATTCAGAAGTTGACAGCCACTTCTGGTTCCTATATATGTTCCACAGAGGCAATTGTGGAGGAAGTTTCTCAATTTCAGTGTGGGAATGTTCAGTGGTTAAGACTTTTATGGTATGATGATTTGTGTAAATAATTGAAGCCTGGTTGTAGGAGGAATTGTTTCACAGTCATATTATAAAGATGCAGTGTGGCTTATGGAACATTCAACCTACAACAGATAGTGTTTCTTAACCTGGCCTTTGAACCAGAAAAAAGAGGGAATTGGCACAAACTATCGAGCCCCAGTTATTCTGTGACATTGTCACATACCAATACATAGGACTCTTGTCCATTTTTAATGGCATCATACCCTGGTGACATGTTCCAAAGACCCAAGCAAGTAGAATTTAGCATTTTCCGTGCCTCACTTGTTTTCTTACCTTATGTTTAAATTTCAGGTGGAGTCTAGAAAACACATTCGCAGTATGTATTATTGAATTCCTTTCTTAAGACACATTTTAGAAATGTATTTCATAATTACTGTGTATCCTTATGTCTAATGCACCTCTGTCATCTAAGCTGACTATAGGGAAGAACTTGGATTTCTTTTTTTTAAAGTAGTACCCCAAGTTAACAAAAAACTGGGGTTATTTGTCTGTTAACACTGGATTTAGATATGATCTTTTTAGACTGTTTGGGATGTTGTGTACCAGGCTTTGTCTAATCTGTTTTTCCCAATGATAGGTACTCCAATTACCCATTCAAATCTCCAGTGATACACTAATGAGTTAACAAATTAGGATACACACTTTACCTATATAAGTGTTCAAAGCCCATCACATGTGATACCCTTTCTGTTTGTGTGCTACTCAATTGAAGATAAACCGGGGCACAGAGGTAAGTGAAGATGGTTCTCCATGCAGATAAAGAGACATGTGGTAGCCCAAGGATTTGGTAATCCCTAAGCTCCAACTTCCCAGCATCTGCCTTCAATAGGTCAAAACTGTCATGACTACCACAGAGGGCAAAAGCACTGTTCTTCATCTACCAGTAGACATTCACAGCATGAAAGGTAGAAAGTACACAAGCTTCTAGTCAGATCACAGATTCTGAGAAAGGGAGGCAGACACTGCATGGGGAGTTGGGGTGTTTTTCACTCAGGTTTGTTATACATGGCTGTCTCCGTTATTCTCTGTTGTCACGCTGACATAATGTAGCCTTTACCTGTCACATCCATGGAATGCCTATCTGGTTGTACACTGCATTCAGTGATCCTCCTGAAGCCCCAGTCTCACTCTGAAGACTATGCCTGGAAACAAACAATCAGACCAAATGTAAACACACAATTGTTAGTTTCCTCTGTTTTCTGCCATGAGGCTGACACAACTCCATTATGAATGCATTCCCAGTTCCTGCATTCTTAAGAGGAAGTTTTTGGAAGAAAGCTGTTGCCCCTCAGGGATCTCCCATCTCTGAAGCTCCTTCTGCAGAAACAACACAAAAGAAAATGGAAGGTACCGTGGGGATTCTGTAATTCTGTCCAATTGTGTTTCATGGTTGATAATTTTGTTTCATATATAAATATATAGAGATGCTTAAGGCTACTATTCCTATGTATGATAATACTTACATATCTAAGTCTTCAATGTAAACAGAACCATAGCATTTAAATGTCACCTTGGGCTCTCATTCAATAGCATGAACCAGACAGAGAAAAGCTGAGGCTCATCTTGTATGAGTCATTGTGACTTCACCTCATACAGACAGGAATAGATAACCATACAATAATAACTTTCTCTCACATGTTGGTGATGCAGATGGATTAGAGGTGATGTTTCTCAAAGAGACCTTGTAAACATCCATTGTCTCATGACTGGGGATGAAATTCAAATTAGATAACAGCATTTCTGATTTGATCCAATGAGCAAGTGTCCCAGTTTTCAAGTTACATACTGTGTTTGGAGGGTAAAGATATCAATAAGGACAAGGAAAATGGGAAGGGTATGGGCTTTTCCTCTTTCAATGGCACAGTGGGGAACAATGTCTGAAGTGTGCTTTGCCATTTGAAGACAGTATTTCCCAGGACATTATTCTTTTTTCAAGGCTTGCTTTTTAAAATTTAATGTCTTGAATATTTTCCTTTTTCCTTGTAAACTTATACAATATGTTCTGATCTTGGTTTCTCCTACTCCATCTCCTCCCAGATTCTCCCCACCTCACCACCCATCCACCTTCATTTTCTCTCTCTTTAGAAAAGGAACAGGCAAATTATAAAAAATACAAAAAACCAATATATAATCAGTGAAAAACCTCAACAAACGCACACACCCAAAAAACAATGCAGAAACACACAATCAGAAACCATAACATGCATGCACAAGATGATGAAAATTTTAAAAATGCCCAAACAAAGCAATATGAGACCAAAAAATTCTGCAAAAAATGCCATTGAGTTTGGTTTGTGTTGACTATCTACAACTTGAACTGGGCCTACCCTTAAGTGCAAGAAAACTGATTGTTTTCCCTTGCAAGAGTTTGCCAATGAAGATAGCTTCTACATTAGGAATGGGAACTCCTGTCCACTTACTCCTCTCAGCCCTGGGGCCCTGTCTACCTGGAACCTATGCAATCTGCCAGTCTCTGGGAGTTCTGTTGTGTCTGGAAGACACCATTTCCTTGATGTCATCCTATACTCTGACTTTTTCAATCTTTCTGTCTCCTCTTCCACATACCTCCCTAAGCCCTGGGCTGAGGGGAAGTGTTAATGAAGACATTTAAGACTAAGTATCAGGATGTCTTTGCAGCCTGTGGCCAAATTCCTAAGCTTCTGCTTGTGGTTACTAGTTCTCCATTTTAATTGTGTCTGTCTGAATTATTTTCTCAGTTGTGACAAAATACAGTGATGACTAAAACAAACTAAAGTATAATTGGCTTGTTTATTCCATGTAGTCTAAGGTTACAGGTGACAATTTCAGGATACATAGGCAGGAGATTACAGAAAAAAAAAACAGCACCTGTTGAAAGCCAAGATGAATGCTTTTCAAGGTTTTCTATACATAGATACAGAAGGAGGATTTATTAGAATGACTTACAGGCTATAATCCAGCTAATCAACCAGTGGCTGGCTATGAACAGAAAGTCTATGAATCCAGAAGTTGCTCAGTCCACAAGACTAGATATCTCAATAGACACTTTAATTCTGAAGAAGTAGGCCATAATGCCAGTGAAGGAATGCGCTTGTTATTATTATATTATATTATATATTTGTCAGAGCAATCAGGCAAAGAACACAAGCTTTCTTCTTCCATGCTCTTACATAGACTTCCAAAGGTGGTCTGGTCTGGATTAAAGCTGTGACTTCCTGCCTCAAATTATGGATTAAAAGCCTGAGTCTTCACACTCTGTGCTTATCTTTTCCCATCTCAAAAGTCACTGATGTGGTGGTCAGTTTTGTCCAAACACCTGAAGCTGGGACACCAGTAAGCATATATTTGATCCCCACAACGACTCTATCTCAACTTTATCTGCATTTATAGACTGATGGCAGCCTCATGCTCACAGGCCCTCCTTTTACATCGAAAGGCATCTCCTTCTGACAAATGTCTATCCTTTGTGCCTTCTCTAAGAGAAGTCTCGTGTTCTTGGCCTTCATCTTGCCAAAAAGGCACAACTTATAATCATTATTTAGGAGTTTTGGTAAGTTTAAAAGGCTTGCAGATAAGCATTTCACAAAGGATAAATGTTAAAAAGACCAGAAACCTGTGTTTCATAAACACAAAATACATGTAAATTATCTATTTTGCAATGTCTTTCCATAAAATATGTACAACATATGATGAATTATTACAATTTACCTCTTATTATTGATACTTACCAAGATTCCATCATTCTTTACCTTTGAGAGATAAAGTATTGGAACTCAAATATTCACTTTTAAGTAGTTGTGTAAAGTCATGGAGTACAGATGGATCAGTGAGTGAGAAGACATGTGTACATACATCAGTACTCTGTTTTGAATCTCCAGTGCACAGTAAAAAGAAAGTCAGGCAATTCTGTGCCTACCCATAACCCCAACATATTCAGGGGCGGAGAAAAGAGGACTCATGGGTGTTGCTGGCTGTCAATCTGGGTCTAGCTTCAATGAGAATCCTTGATTGAAGGAAGAAAGACAAGAGTGGAAGAGGAGGGTTGTTTTATTTCACATCTTTAATTCTTTGAGAATTTAATGTGACTACTGTGTTTACATCATTCTATCCCACCTTTTCCTTAGTTCAACTCATCCCATGTCCACCATTCAAATATGTGATGTCTTCTATGATAACTATTATAAATAGATGAGTAGATTTAATATTGCTTATGCCTATGTATGTTTTTGAGTGTTTGGTGCTGTTAGTTTGGGATTATATAATTTATGAGGGGGTTTGCCCCTGGAGAAAATGAATTCTCCTTCTCTCTACAACCATTGATTGCCTGTAGCTCTTGGTCTATGGAGGCATATCATAGGGGCTGTGATGCAGGTCCTATTTGGGGAACTATATTGAGATTTCACTCACTATATCACCACTGCTATGTCTGTAAGAAACTATCTAGCAGCATATGTCCTGTCCCTCTGGTTCTTATAGTCTTTCCACTCCTCTACCAAAATGTTCCCTGAGTCTTAGGTATAGGAGTTGTTTTGTACACACGTACAATTTGTAATCTCACAATTTGTCCTCTGGCCTCCATATGCAAACTGAGGCATATAAGCGTGCCTCTAAAGAGAATACATGTGAAGATTTGTATTTAATCTTCAATTATGTAGAATATTTTATGTTGCTTTAGGTCACTACTGTCTGCAAATGTTCTGTTACTCCTGTCTCTCCAGGTCTTTCTATGCTTTAATTTCCCTCTGAGGGAAGACCCTTCAGCAGCCGCCCCATCATCCTGTTCATTAGATCTAGTCACACACACTAAGTCCATGCACTTTTACAAACAACATTATGCAAGGATGCTGCATAAGCAATAAGCAGTACCAAGAGCTGACAGTCACTTTCTGTCCCCCTAGAAGTACCTGAACACGGTGACAATGTGTCTTCACCAAAGGACCAGAAAACACCAGTGCAGGCGATGAAGGTAAGGAGCCCTTTGTTTTCTTAGAAAGGTTACTTTGGTGATCTATGCTTCAGTGGATAGGATATCCTACTGAACAACAAACTGAGCAAGGCATCATGGGTACTAGAGAGTTAGTTTAGGAAGAGTATATCATCTATAAATGTGTGTGTTTTTCCTTAAGGGTCCTCTCCTATTTGTTTCTCCAGCCTGTCATCTAGATGGCATTTAAGTTGTTCCCCAAAAGTCTATGTGGTTGGAAGCTTCATGCAGCCAATATTTGAGCATTGGGGGTATAATGCATTTAAAACGTGTGCATTCATGCAAATAATTAGATTGTGTCTCTCCCAAAGCAGGTTGTTAAGGTGGTCTGCCATGTTGTGATATAGCTTAGGGAGGCTTCAGGAAAGGCCAAGCAGAAGAGAGGCTCTGCTCTCACTTTGAGTCAGTATATGTGTGCAGTGTATTAGTATTTTCACAAATAAATAGCCCTGGTTTTCTGTGACATTACCATATAATGTATCAATGCAGTTTTCTTATGTCTTTTTCCTATTCTGCTTTACACAGCAAACAGCTGTGCAAACAGACTGTATAGACCTGAACCTCAAAGTGTTTTCTTTCCTTTCAATTACAGGTGGAGTGTAGAAAACTCACAGGAAGTATGTATTATGGAATCTCTTTTTCAAGACACATGTTAGATAAGAATTATTTAAATGCTCACTGCCTTTTCTATGGTACACCAATGTGATATAAGACTCCTATTGGGAGTGAAAATTGAAAGTTTAAGGGGGAAAAAGCAGTGCCCTAAGTAGCTAGTCCTACCCATGTGTCTGCAGTCATTGCATTCAGCTCTGACAACTTTAGTTACTTTGGCATTTTTGTGTACCAGGCAGTGTCTCAAAAGATTAAACAGTTATCCTTATTATACAATCAACTTTCCAGTGAGAAATATGTCAATTCAAAAAGCAAGATACATATTTTTTTAAATTTATTTTCCATTTTACATACTAATCCTAGTTCCCTTCCCTCCATCCACTCCTCAGAGAGAGTAGGCCTTCCTTGGGGGAGTAAACAAAGTCTGGCATACCAAGTTAAGGCAGGACCAAGGCCCTCGCCACTGCATCAAGGCTGAACAAGGTGTCCCATCATAAGGACTGGGCTCCAAAAATCCAGTTCATGCCCCTGGGATAAGTTCTGGTGCCACTGCCAGCACCCTCTCCCCACCAGATCAAGTATTACCTACAAAAAAGTGTTCAAGCCTCACCATACAGATGTGTGATAGGTGTGTTTCCTTGTGCAGCTTTCTGAAGAATCATAGCCCAAAATGTAGAGATAGGTCATCAGCCTTCCTAGTTAAGAGCTCAGGAATCACTTCTTACTTCATCAAGAGCTCAAAAATTCCTGTGTGAGAGTTCCAGATGCCCAGCATATCCCTGCAGTAATCCAGCCCTAGGGAGATGCCAGACGATGTTGAGCACAACAGTGTGCACAAGGCCAGGGCAGTGCTCTTTACCTGCCTGTGAACGCTCACAAGTACGATAGATGGAAAAATCCATAAGTTTCGTCAGATCAGAGAGATTAACTGTATGAGACATTACATTGAAAAATAGTTTGGATGTGTGTGATAACTGGATAAATGGTAGAGATGGCTCATTCCAGTAAGAACTGGTGGAAAGGATTAACAGATTAGACATTAACATAAGAGCCCTAAGAGCCATACAGTTTATGGGCAATGTCCTCTAAGAACACCAAACACCTCTTGACTTTTGAGTTTCACTGGGCCTTTATTTTGGATATATACCCAAATATATATGTTTGAGTTTGTATTCCAATATTGCTGGTATGACTCACCAGTCTCCATGCTGTCTGCTAAGTCTGAGCACTCATTGGAACGATATATGCAGCAGTGAGTTACTCAGGCAGAGTATGGTTGGGTATCATCATTTTGAAGATGCTGGCTGTGTTTGAGTACCCTCACAGTCAGGATTTGTCAGAAGAGGGTCTATGTGACCAGGAATGTATAGACCAGTTGGTTTAGTGTGTTCCTAGCTTGTGCAAAGCCCTGGATTTGATCCCAACAATGGTGTATGTACCCATGGTAATGTACCTCTGTAAATATAATTCTTCATTGCTGTAATGGAGAGAATCATAAATTGAAACTCATCCTTTCATACTTAGGAACCTTTCATTCAAGGTATTTTTGGAAGTTTAAAAAAACGTATAGGGAGTGAGCTTGGCTCAGGTGCCCCCGTAGAGCCTGTGGATGGAAAAGGAGTGACTTCAATGAGTCAGAGCAAAGCGGGTATGGTGCACACTTAGTGCTAACATAGACTCTGCCCACTTTATCTGCATTGTCCATACACTGTCTGACAATATTTGTCATCTACACAACTTCGTGGATACATATCACTCAAATGCCATACTGCTTTTCTTGCCTGGTCATGTTGAAGATCTAAAGATTCAGCCAGTTGAAGAGAAGTTTCATTTTTGTCAAACCATCATTCGATAACATGTTTTAGAATGAGTATTTCTAAGGACTATGCAAGAATCTATAATCTCTCAGTGTGGTTGCTGGGTAATCAAAATTAATCACTAAGAGGGATATGACAGGTTGTGGATGCAGGAGAAAGATGACATATTTGTACTAAGCCAGTGCTCTCTGCTTCTTTTGGAACAAACTCCAATTCTGAGTAGGAATCGGAAGGTAAAGAACATCTCTCAGGATGCTTGTCAGGAGTTTGGTTACAGTGACAGGAACATAACTAATATGGTACCTAACGATGGAAAGTAGGGGCTGCACACTGTTCTTCTCAACTCATCTAAGGATACCATATGTTCTCTGTGAGCTGTAAGTGCCATGGTTAAATATAGAATGAAAGCCAGCAACAACCATCCGGTCAGCACTCTGAGACCTTCACATCCAGGATCATATGTACGAACACACACACACAGTAAAACCCATCTCTCTGCTTAAGTCAATTCTCTCCTGTGTGTGTGTGTGTGTGTGTGTGTGTGTGTGTGTGTGTGTGTGTGTGTGTGTGTGTGTTCTTACATGTGATCCTGGATATGAAAGTCTCAGAGTGTTGGCTTGATGCTTCAGGAGAATCAGATCCTTTCCCTCTGGTGCTTTAGAGCTTGTTTTCACATCTTCATGGTCCTCTCTTCAATGTTTAGACCTGTTTTAAAGGACACTAGAAAATGAAGATTAAACTGGCAGAAAGGCTTTTTAGTCTGACCTCAGTCCTTGGAAAAGTCAAACATGAATTTAGCTCATTTGAATTCTCTTCTCCTCACCCTGAACTTTTTAGTGTGCAAGATGATTGAGGGGATGGAGATTAGAGAGATTTCATCTGTCTTGCAACCACTGGCCTAGTGGATGAGGAGAAACCTTGACTTTGGCCCAGCTTTGATGCTTTTTAATGCATTAAGGGTTCAAGTTATAACACTCGAGGGCCTGGGAGTTCCCATGAACTGCTACCCATATACTAAGGCTTGGGAACATGATTTTAGCCCTCCTGGTACCAATCTGGACATTGTCTGTATCTATCCTTTGTGCTTTAGTGTACTTGTATGTTTCACTCTAGGGATAAGAAGTTTATTTTCTCCAAGTTTCTTCAGTAGGGGCAAGGCCTTAGCTCTTCACAAGTAGATCTGCTTCTCCTACAGTCTCATTGTCCTGCTGGCTTTGAACCACCTTTTATACACCATGTATGTATGTTGAATGTATTTTGTCTTCACTGTAAACTCGGGGGCTTCTGCTGCTAACAGATGTGCTCCATGGAGACCCAGGACTCTACGTCTACCCCATACTCTTCATCCTTCCTTATGAGGAGACCTTGCACATGATCTTCTCCCATCTCTTTCTCCTATCTCTTGAGTGTCATCCTGACTCTGATCTCTGTGCCTGGCAACACATGGGATCTTGGGTTACCCTGGTACCTGTCTCTAAAAACAAAAGCAAAAAAGAAAGAAAAACCAAAAAATAATCCAAAGAACTCAAAAGTATACTACATGTCCTCAAAATATTATAGTGTCTAGAAACATTTATTATAAATAGATAATGATCTATTTCATAATTCCATAAAACATATACAAAAATCAAAACACTTCTCTATTTACACACAGCCAGCATATGAAGTGCTTTACACTAGAAAGATATAACATCATCATGCAGTAGGTAGATAATGTCTTGACAAAACAACTGCTTGGTGTTCAAGCAGTGAGACCTGATCTGAATCTGTAGGACACATGTGAGAGACTAGGTGTGTGTGTGTGTGTGTGTGTGTGTGTGTGTGTGTGTGTGTGTGTGTGCCTGTGCCTGTGCCTGTGCCTGTAGTAGAGACAGCACAGCTGTGACTTGGTGCTTGCTAGCCTGCCTTTAGCTTCAGTGAGAGACCCTAACTGAATGGAAGAAGGCTGTTACAATGCAGCAGGAACAGTGTATAACCTCTTGTGGCCTCCATGAAAATGGGCAAAGGCAGGTGTGCACACAAAGTCATGGATGAACCACATGCCAATAAACATGCCCTCATTCATGTGTACTGAAATACTGTGGGCTTCAAAAATAAGTTAGCCTTATTGTGTCTTATGTGTATGAATGCTTTGCATGCATGTATTCATGTTAGTGCACCACGTGAGTACCTGATGCATTCAGAGGTCAGAGGTCAGATCAGAACCTTTGGAACTAAAGTTGCAGATGGTGGTGAGCCACCCTGGGGAGTTTTGGAACTGTAACCAGATCCTCTGCAAAAGTGACAGTGCTTTTTATCTCTGAGCCATCTTTCTAGGCCCTGGCACTCAAATATTTTTTTAAAAAATATTTTTATTTAAATTAGAAACTATCTTATTTTACATATCAATTTCAGTTCCCTCTCCCTCCTATCTTTCCAAGCCCCCCACTAATCCCACCATCCTACTCTCTAGGGAGGGTGGGGCCTTCCATGGCGGATCATCAAAGTCGAAACATCATTTGGGGAAGGGCCTAAGCCCTCCTCCATGTATCTGGGCTAAGAGATTATCCCTCTATGGGGACTAGGCTCGCAAAGTCCATTCCTGCACTAGGGATACATATTGTTCCACTGCCAGAGGCCCCATCAACTGCCCAGGCCTCCTAACTGTCACCTAAAATCAGGAGGCCTGGTTTCGTTCTAAACTTGTTCCCCTGCTGTCATACTGGGGACCATGAGCTCCCACTTGCTCATGTAAGCTGTTTCTGTGGGTTTCCCTAGGGTGGTCTTAATCCCTTTGCTCATCACTCCTCCCTCTCTGAAAATGGATTCCAGGAGTTCAGCTCAGGGCTTAGCTGTGGGTATCTGCTTCTGCTTCCATCAGCTTTTGGAGGAAGGCTCGAGGACGGCATATAAGGGAGTCATCATTTTCATTATAGGGGAATGGCACTGAAGGTAGGTAGTCCTCTCCACTATTGCTTAGATTCTTAGTTGGGATCATCCATGTGGCTCTGCGGACATTTCCCTAGTGCCAGATTTCTCTAAACCTATAGTGACTCCCTCCATTATGGTATCTCTTTTCTTGCTCTCCTCTATTCTTCTCCCCCACCACTCAAAGCTTCCTGATCCTTCATGTCCTCCTCTCCCCTCCTCTTCTCCCCTCCTCTTTCTCCTACCCACCTTCCCATCCCCACACCTCTATTCTAGTCTCCAAATTTGTTCAGGAGTTTTTGTCCTTTTCCCCTTCTTCAGGGGACCATATATGTCTCTCTTATGGTCCTCCTTGTTTCCTAGCATCTCTGGATATGTGGATTGTAGGCTGGTAATCCATTGTTCTATGTCTAAAATCCATATATGAGTGAGAACATACTATGTTTATCTTTCTGTGACTGAGTTACCTAACTCAGTATGGTTTCTTCTAATCCCATCCATTTACTTGAAAATTTCAAGATTTCATTTTTTTCTGCTGAGTAGTACTCTATTGTGTAAATGTACCACATTTTCTTCATCCATTCTTCAGTTGAGGGATACTTAGATTGATTCCAGGTTCTAGCTATTACAAATAATGCTTCTGTGACCATAGTTGAACAGATGTCCTTGTTGTATGAATGTGCATCCTTTGAGTAAATTCCTAAGAGTGGGATTGCTGGATCTTAAGGTAGACTGATTCCCATTTTCCTGAGGAACCGCCATACTGATTTCCACTGTGGCTGTACAAATTTGCACTCCCACCAGCAATGGAGGAGTGTTCCCATTCCTCCACATCCTCTCCAGCACAAACCATGTTCAGGGGGCCTGGTTTTGTCCTGTGTTGGTTCCCCAGCTGTCAGACTGTGGTCCATGAGTTCCCGCTTGCTCAGGTGAGCTGTTTCTGTGGGTTTTCCCAGTGTTGTCTTGACCCCTTTGTTCCTCATTCCTCCCTCTCTGAAACTGGATTCCAGGAGTTTGGCTCAGTGCTTGACTGTGGATCTTTGCTACTGGATGAATGTTCTAGGGTGGCATTTAAGGTAGTTATTATTCTCATTATAGGGGAAGGACATTTAAGGTAGCCTTTCCACTGATGCTTGGGGTCCTAGTTGGGGTCATCCTTGTGGATCTCTGTATAATTCCCGAGTGCCAGATTTCTCTTTAAACCTATAGTGACCCCCTCTATTGATGTGTTTCCTTTCTTGTTCTCCTCTAATCCTCTGCCCACTCAATCTTCCTGATCCCTCACATTCTCCTCCCCTTCTTCTTCTCCCTTCCTTTTTCTCCTACCTCCCTTACCGTCCCCCATACTCCCCACTTATTCAGGGGTTATTATCCCTTTCTACTTCACTGGGGACCATGTACGTCTCTCTTATAGTCCTCCTTGTTTCTTAGCTGCTCTGGAGGTATGGATTGTGAGCTGGTAATCCTTTTCATTATGTCTAGAAACCATATATGAATGAGTACATACCATGTTTGTTTTTCTGTGACTGTGTTAATTCACTTAGGATGGTTTCTTCTAGTTCCATCCATTTTCCTGCAAATTTCATGTTTCTATTGTTTTTTTCTGCTGAGTAGAACTCCATTGTGTAAATGTACCACATTTTCTTTATGGGACAGCAAAAATCCAAACTGGAACTGTATATGATGGCACATTACTTAGGGACATGCCCAGGAAAAATACATACTTGCATCTTTATTAAGACATCTGATTCACATATTTCCTTGAGGAAAAGAGGTGAAGGATTTTTCTTGCCTAGCTGAGGAAAACATGGGCGCCGAACAGTGTGTGAACAGGAATGCTAAGCACAACACAGTTAGCAAGCAAAGCTTTGTTTGTGATGTGAAAGTAGACCCAAAGGGAACATCCAAAAATTACAAGCAAACACGAAAATGGCCGATAGAAAATCATTCCAAACAATTCTGATAGCATGGAAGGTGATATACGTGGTAGCAATCACTCAATCACTCACCGAGGATGGTCAACTTGATCCCTGACAGAAAGACCCAACAATGTCCCATAGCTTTGTGCTACATCCTCTTCCCTATTCTGAACCTCTTCCTGCTGTATCCCTAGTGGTGAATGTATTGTACTTAACCCCACCTAAATCTTCAGATGAAGAGGTTGTAAGCATAATGAAGGAGAGGAGGAAGAGGAGGAGGCGCTACTATTGATAAGTCTCCAGCGTTGCCCCAGTGAGTACTGCACATCCAGAGGCTTCATGAGATTAAAAGCAATGGGGGCAGGGGACAGAGAAATGAAGACAGTTGAACAGTGGAGCCTCCAGTTCACTTGATAGCAGAGCTTCACCAGGATAAAGAACTGCTGTATCAAAGGCCTGTTGGGTTGTCAGGAGATATTGAGAATAGAGACCTAGGAGAGGCTATGTCAGTCTACTCCATTTCTTTAATGAATCCATCATCTTTATGGCAGCATTCACCCACCGTCCACTTTGCCTGTCTGTGGCCTTTAGTGCAGGAACCTGGGGGCAGCACTGTTGAAGAGAGAACAGAGAAGTGCAGCTTACTGTTTTGCTCCATGGCTTGTACAGTCCACTTTCTAATAGAACCCAGGATCACCAGCCTAGGGATGGAACCATCCACAATGGAATGGGCTCTCCTCCATCAGTCACTAATGAAGGAAATGTCCTACAAGCTTGCTTGCAACTTAGTCTTGTGGTTGCAAATTCTCAAATGAGACTGCCTCCTCCCAGATGACTTTAAATTGTGTCAGCTTAACATAAAACTAGGCAGGACTGGGGACATGAGGATGCATAGGTCAGGTCATACAGGTCCCTATGAACTGTATGTTTGGGGAGCAGGGTTACTTGTGTCAAAGCGTATATGAGTGGCATTAAGAGAAAGGGGTGGAGAGGTGAGGATGAGAGATGAGAAACGTGACCAGTCCACATTCAGTAACACCTTTTACAGGGAGAGGAAACTTGCTGGAGAGAGAAGAGCAATAGTCCAAGAACTCTTTGCACTTTGAGGTAGCAAAGTCCCAAAGGTCTTTAGTGGCATCCAAGTCAGAAACCACAACTTTGCCTTGCCAGGGGCTTCTTCAGGTATGAGTTACTGGGGGCACTGATAGAGGAACAGAGATACACAGGAAATGTGGCCACATTTTGTAAAAGTGCATCCCAGGCCAAGGGGACCATGCACATAGCAGAGATGTTCTCAGACTATGATGGTTGGGCACCCTAGGAAGTGCTGTTTAACCATTGCAGAGTCTCATCTCCACTGAAATAACCCTTTATTTCTCCTCTGTTCACATGCTCAAAGTATCTTGTATAAATGGTGACCATCAATAGCTGGAGGCCGATAAATATTAACCAATGACTAGAATGACCCCGGGATCCCAGAACCTACTACTTCCAGAACATGGACTCCAGGACAGTGGCTTTGTCACATCTAAGACCTCTGGTAAGATCCAGGACTCCTGCTTTACTCTTTTCTCAGCCTCTTTAGAATCCTAAACCCAGAAAGGCAGTGCTTGCCGGCTCTTTCTCTGTCGTCCCAAACTTGCTCTAAGAAAAGCCTGGATGTGTTGATTGAGTTTGTCAGCTTGACACAAGATGGAGCTACTTGAAAGGTAGGAACTTCAGTTGAGAGAATACTTCCATAAGGTCAAGCTTTAGGACATTTTCCTAGTGATTGATAGAGGAGAGCCAAGCCTGTCGTGGGTGGTGCCATCCCTTGGCAGATGGTTCTGGGTTCTTTAGGAAAGAAGGAGAAGCAAGCCATGAGAAACAAGACAATAAGCAGTGCCCTCCATGGCCTCTGCATCACCTCCTGCTTCCAGGTTCCTGCCCTGTTTGAGTTCCTGCCCTCACTCTTTTGATGATGGACTAGAACTGGGGGCAAAATAAACCCTTCCTTCCCCAAGTTGTTTTGGTCATGGTGTTTCATCACAACAATAGAAACCTTAAGACTAGTAATTTGTTTATAGCAAAAATTATACAATAAATAAGACTTTATGTGTTCCCACTTCCCAAAATATTTGTGTTTTAGCTAGAGAACATCACACCATAGGAATAGCTTGCACATGGTATTTGTTTTGTGTGTGTGTGTGTGTGTGTGTGTGTGTGTGTGTGTGTGTGTGTTGAGTTTTGTTGTTTGGTTGCTTGTTTTATACCCAGTCTCTAACTCTCAAACCTCCTAAATCAACTTCTCCAATGTTGAGATTACACGCATGCCCTTCCGGAGTTTAGGCCAGGAATTTCAACCTTAGGGAATGATCACAACCCTTAAGATCAAAATAGTTTGATGACTGTATGCTTGAATGTAAGTTAAACTCTGTCACAGTTGTGGTTTCCAGTAAGGAGATTTAAGCTATATGGTTCAGACCAGCATGAACTACCTTTTATTTGCTTGCTTGTCATTTGGGCCTGCTATCTCCTTCTGGTGATGTGACATGTTGGTTTATATCCTTTCCCCTCAAGACTCATCCTATAAGCAGGTTAGACTGGGCACAGCAAGGTGCACAAAATTGATAACACATAATTCCTGGGAGGCATGGTGATACATGCCTGTAATTCTTGCGATCTGCGGGGTGAGGCAGGAGATTTTAAGGCAAATTCAGACTACATGCCAAGTCCTTGTCTCAGCAAGCTTACAAAAAATGTGTGCAACTTTCAAAATATGCAAGAGAACTTTTATGTATATATAAAATTAATATATCAAGGATGTTTTCTGATGTATTTTTTACTCTTAACAATATAACCAGCTATATGTCATGTCCACATTGAATAGCACTGGTACTGGGATGATCATAAATAAATTTGAGAGTTAAATATTAGGACAAATTTGCTAAATTGGAAATGGAGAATGTCCAACAAACTATAAATCATTAGTGTTCTATGTTCTATGAGATATAAATTAGTTTAGGACATGACTATGCTAGGTAAAGAGTAAGTTCAATTAGTCTGCAACTGTTAATTCAGACTAACCAGTTAGACAATCAAAGGTCATGTCTCTGGTCTGGACTGTGAGTATAATACAGGAAGGATATGCCTTCTAGTCTTTGGCCTCATTCCCATTTCAGGTAAGTTTTCACATACCCATTTCCAAAGGGTATGTCTTGGTGTAAGAAAAAGTTCACTGGGGCAGACTTGGTTATTTCCATAGATGCAGCATGGATGTTCATTAAACATAATCACCTCCTTGACTTTGATCTGCAAAATGGAAACTGGGCTATTATTTCCTGTCCAGTTTCCACATGCAATTTTAAGCTATCTCAGAACAGTAAGTGACAGGAAATTTAAAACTACACCAATTTATTGGTTACTTTTCATCTTGCCCTTTCAAAAGCAACTGAGGTAGGTTTTGCTCAGTTTCAGAGACATAATCCATCATGGTCATGGGTGGGTACACCAGCAGGTCTCTTTGCATCTGTAGTTAGTAGCAGTGAAGATGAATGCTTGTGCTCATTTGATGTCATAGTTTTACCCCTTTTAACTCAGTACTCTACACCAGCCCATGACATGGTGCTGTCCTCAATGACAGAGGATCTTCAGTTCACTTTCACAGACATGCCCTCAAGTGTGTCTCCTCATAGATTCTAAACCCATCAACTAGAGAAGGAATATTACTAATCACACCAACACTAATAGTTGCCCAGTGTTTTTGAAAGTGGCACATGGAATGAGGGAACGGACATGGAAATTTCCAATACTGAAACTGGGGAGAAATTTGAAACTGTGAAAGGATATCACATTACTTCCCTCCTGAGACTACATAGCAAATCCCAAATACTTTCTCCCATCTATATTACCTGTAGATAATACTGAGTTCTTCTCTTCCTCAGGGTGTCTAATATGATTTTGTTGTGCCCAAGTCTCGACGACCCCCAGAGACTAACAAGGAGACACACTTACCAAACAGCAAACACATGCTTTATTGTTTAATCCTGTCTGCAGGGACTCCATCTAGCAGGATGACACTGTAGCCTCTAGATGGATCCAAATTCATTGTCTATTGCCAGAATTTAAAGGAAAAAAATCACAAAATTATATCAGTAGGTATGGGTCAGATCCTGGTTGGTTGACTTTTGGGGAACAATTAGGGGAATTTCTTAGAGTCGGGGCAACTGGTTTATTAGTATTTTTGATTATTAGTATTTTTTGGCTACAGATGGGAGCATTAATGGTTTCTATGGCTTTGTCTGTTACTTGCAGGCAGCCTGTTTTCACTGCTTGGTGCTGGGAGGGAGCATTCTGTGGTTTCTCTGTCTCTTGGAGGTGGATTTTTATCAAACACTGTATCCAGGTACTTAATAAGTCTAAGAGGAAGGCTGTCTTAGAGTTTTGTTCACAAAACAAGAGCTAGAGGCTAGGGGACTGGATTTGTTTTGAAGGCTTTTCCATAACCTTTACATTTATATAGTTTCTCTCTAGTATAAATAATAAGAGTTGAATGGGAACTTACGGCTTTGCCACATTTATATAATTTCTCCCCAGTGTGAATTATTAGAAGCGAAGTCTTTGAGTTTAGTTTACTTCTTTGAATTCCAGCATATGACAACCTTAGGTCAAATGGGGTAAAGCCAAGCTTTGTATTGTCTCTGGGAGCTTGTCACAACCAATTAAATGAGAATCAATATCTAAGATATCCCAGTAGGTACTCAATCAGTAGTATCCAGACCAAATAGCGAGATAGATGCTTTTGAATGTAAACCTAGGGACTATGACCATTTAAGTATTTTTAGCATTTTCATCAGAAAGGTGTCCTGACATATTTTTTATAAATATATAACAGTTGATATGGATTGTAAGTAGAGGAAATGATTGTGTTGAGGCTAAATCCTTCCTACCTGGGCAATTAACACATAATATGCACAGATAAGCCCTTGTGGTGATTTTTCCTTGGCTGTCAATTTGGCTATATGTGGAATTAACTAATACCCAGGAAGCTGTGATTTTTCTTGTGAGTAGTTTTTCTTGATTGAATAATTTGAAGTGAACAGACCCACCAAATCCTGATATTTTGATGTGTGAGGATCCACCTTAAATCTTGCATGTACCTTCTGATCCAGCCTTGAAAAAGATGTGTAAAAAAAAGGAATAGAAGGAGAAAATTATGTAATTTTACTTCAACTAACAGCATACTCAATAGAAAAGATAATACGAGGCATCCAGGTTCAAAGCAATCAACTGTCCCTGTCAGATATTGCAGGATTTGCCTGGTGGTGTGGCACACTTTAATCCCAGCACTTCAGAGGCAGAGGCAGGTGGATCTATGTGAGTTATAGGCTAGCCCGATCTACAGAACTAGTCCCAGGAAAGCCAAGGCTACACAGAGATAATCCAGTCTTTAGAAGAAAATGTTGCAGGTTTTGAACTGCTTCAGATCCAAATTACCACACAGTCCTCTAGCTGGGTGATTTGAACCGTGACAGCTGAAGATGGAAGAATTCTTGATCTCTAATGTCACTATACACTGTAGGAAGTGAAACAGAATGATATATATATATATACATATATATATATAATGGATTTTTTAAGAGCAGAAAGGTGTGTGTGTAGAGAAAAAGGATTGGAATGGAAGGAGTTGAAGGTGAGGTGAATATGTTCAAAACAAGTTCTACAAAATGTCAAAGATCTATGAAGAATTTTATAAGGTTGATATTTGCTAAAATCAAAGATTATCAACATTGTTGTTTGTTAACTTGTCAAGAAAAAGATATAAACACAGTGCAAAATATTTAGATACAGTAAAATATTGTAGGAAAAGTACTAGCCCTTTCTTTGGCAAGGTATTACTACCTAGGCTGCCCTTGCACTAAAACTCTGCATGCCTCAGCAGACCAGTTCCTAGCCTGTAGGACTAAAGGTATGAACGATCACACCCAGCTAAGCAGTGACTCAGGAAACCTTGTGGGGAGCTTTGCTTATGGAGATTGGCCACAGAGTTAATTCAATCTTCCACACTTTACAGGAGCTCCCCTATTGGGAACATTAGTAAAAGCAACATTGGAGCAAGTGGGCATGATCCTTAGCGACTACAGAAGGGCACTCCAGAGGACAGCCTGGTTCATTCTTCTCTAGACCAGACAGAGTGTGTTTCCATAAGGTCTGGATTGCATCCCAGAGCTGAGCTGATACTGTTGTTTCCCAATTAAACACTGATGAGGCCAGAGACAATTCCTTGGGTTTGTGCACAATTTACAGGATTTTTTAGCTCATTACCAAATGGAAGTTTCTTCTTAGAAGTGACATTTTGCTATTCATCCAAAATGATTTGTATCCCATTTGGTTATGCTTTTGTAAATGTAACATGAGTTACAGCTACAGATAATTTTAGATCAACCATATTCACTCTTTCATTGCCCTGATGTACTTTGCTCAGAGGTATTTACTTGCTACTTTTCAAATTTGATCATTGTTTAAATTCTTAAAGTAGTTACAGCAGTTTTCTATTTAATTCAGAGCAACAAAAGGGGCCACTACCTCTAAATTAAGTGTACACATATAATATATAAAATTAAATGCCTTGAATGGATTGAAAATTATAAGAATCTAGAGGTATTTTATATAAATATGTATAAAAGCAAAAATTCAAGATTTAGTAAAGGATTTTTTAGTATTTCTCTGTTGTAAACTATAAGAAGAAACCACAGTATGAAATTAAGTATGAAATACTGCTTGATAGTAGCTTACCATCTTGGAAGAAGTGACTATTCTTGCTAATGATTGATATATAAGGTTGGAAGTCTACATGAAAGTAAATTAGAGAAAACTAACCATACTATTCTGTACATGAAAGTAAATATGGTTACATTCTGGCATAATTTTCATTTCTGTGTTCAATTTTGGTTATTTCTGTGTGCTTGTATATTTTGGAATGATGTATCTCATGTAGAGGAAAAAATATCAAAGGAGGACAATTAGGTAAGTAAGGAAGGCAGCATTGGGATGATAATCCCTTTTCTAAACTAATTTTGACAATGAGTATTAGTACTTGTTTTGAGGTACGTATGACTCTAAGCTAAAGCTGTTGGCTCCATTTGCTTCAGACCCTGGAGCTTAAGGAATTTGGAGCATATTTGCCTTAATCAAACCAAGATTTTTTTATTTGTGTAGATATTCAAAGAGAAGGGGAATAGATATTCAAGTCTCAAATCATCATGAGAAACTTTTTTATGCCTCTAGGATTTGTGATGATATTTTGTTTTTGCTGTAGCAGATAAAGCTTGTCTGAATATCAGACTTGTAGAAATAGCCACACCAGTTAGTCGTAAAGCCCAGGGAGTGGTGACAAGCACCTTTAATCCTAGAACTCAGGAGACAGAGGCAGACAGATTTCTGTGAGTTCAAGGATGCCCTGGGCTACAGGAGATTGAATAAGTCTAAAGAAGAAATAGAATTCATGACTTTGATCTCAGATCACGCTCCTTTAATCCCAGAACTAGGGAGGTGGAGACAGGAGTGATTTGGCTGGGTGGAGAGAGGACTATAAGGCATTAGAGACAGGAGCTCAGAGTATTCAGTCTGAGGATCGCCCCTTTTGTCTGAGGATTCAGTAGAGGTAAGAAGTATTGGCCGGCTGCTCTGCTTCTCTGATTTTCCAGCATTAACCCTTTATCAGACTCAGGGATTTTATTAATAAAACCAATTAGAATTAGCTCTACAAGGATTCATTCCATAAAAGTAAGCCAGGAATTGTATCTTTAGTTGATGTAAACTTTTACTGTTGTTAGGTATTTGCAGCAGAAGGAGGACAAGTAATAAATACTGCCTTCATGTGTCAAGGGGTTGGAATGTGGGATGTGAATAAGTAAGACGCTAAATCAAAGCGAAACATTTCCTAGAAGTAGAGAGGTTTCTTGGATGGACAACAAAAGAAGGAGCTATTTAACCTACACATGTCTGTAGTGAAAGGCCAATGAATACTTTGAACACTCCAGAGTATAGTTTTTCATAAGCACGGAGAGAGCCTGTCACAGACCTTGGTCAAGGTACTAATTTGGATGGAGTCTCCAAAAAGATGCTGATGGTAGGGCACAGAATGTCTTTAGAACTCTATGTGTTTCTGTCGAGAGTGAAATAGGAAAGATCAGCAACTGCAATCCTATACTTACCTCAATTTTTTTTGGTCATAGAAAAATGAATCCTGTCTTGCCATACACAGGACTGTATCACAACTTCAATCAAATTTGTTCAGTCTCTTGTTTGTCTGGAGTCAATAATAGCAATTCTGCTGTTTTTCCTTCAGAAATTGGAGTCAAGGCATCTCCCAAGCCTTCCAGGAAGAACTCACCTGCTTCATCTGCTTGGGCTGCCTCACAGGCCCAGTCACCATAAGCTGTGACCCAGCTTCTGTGGGCCTCCACCTTCACTGGAAACACATCCAAGTTCCTGTCCATTGCCCTACGTTTAGGACACCATGCCAAGAAAAGGACTTCAGAACCAACATCGTTCTGAAGAAGCTGGTGTCCTTTGCCTTGCTAGACAAGCCATCCTCTTGAAGTCCCTGGGCTCCAAGGAGCACTACTGTGTGGCCCAGAAGAAGACCAAAAGGATCTTCTGTGTGGAGAACAGGATCTACCTCTATGGACTCTGCTCTCCCCTTAGCACAGTGCCATTGGAGCAGCTGCTGAGGATCAAATGGTAAGTGATGCTTGGGAGAATGTGAAAGCTGAAGAGGGAGGCTTAGCGGACCATAGCAATATGCTTGTCCTGATTATGAGGATGCTGCTGTTTCCAGGATGCTGGCACTTTATTAACAGCTAATGATTATGAATGTAAACATCTCTTGGGAGATTTATGGTATAAAAATCATTTCTACTTACTGATGCATTATCCCCAGGTCACTGGAAAGGGAAATAATTACATTCATATGTTTTGAAAGTGTCTGTGGCTGTAGACTAAATTAGAAAAATACATTGTAGTCAGCTAGAGAGAAGCATCTTATGAAAATTACCCAGACATTAGTCATAATTATTAATCACTTTACCTAAGCAAATTTGTATGCTGTGTTTTATGTTTCTATGTTCTAAAATACAAAATTTATAGTTACCAAAAGAAAGAAAAGAAAACGGATCCTTCTACTCTCATTAAAGTAATTGCATTTGTGGTCCAAGAATGTGTCTATTTATCAAAAGTTGATATTCATTGTTTCTTACAGGAGAGACTTCTAAAACAAATAGCATCTCTATGTGAGAAGATCCAAGAAAATTAGGAGAAACTAGAGGCAGAGAATATAATGACAACTTGGTACAGAGTGAGTAGGAGATTCATGCTTAAACTCTGGTTGAGGCAGATATTTTTCAAAGTTTGTCATTCAAGAGTTATATAAGGCATTGAGTGTGATACTAGGAAACATTTTCTGCTGGCTCCTCATTCTAAGTGTAAGACATACTTTTATATGTGGAAAGAATGATTTGTTTGTGTGGCAGAGGCATCTAAGACTAATGAGTGAATTACTTACAGTTCAGCACACTGGATTAGTCTCTATGACTGCACCATGAATCCCAATGACTACCTCCAGAGGTTCATATTTGAGTAAACACATGAATTATCAATCAATACTTTTAATTCAGGCACCTCTGGATCTCTTATATAGGTGAAAGTGCTCAGGGTTTTATTGCCTGTGTCATTAATAAAGAAGAAATTAATGAAACCAAAGAATTTACATGTTCTGAAAAGTGGGGAGATTAAATCACAATCAATGTATCACAGTGACAGAAGTCATTTGTCAAATTTAGGCATAGAAGAGTGCAATTAGGAGGATAAAATACATTGCCAATGTGATTGAGAATGTCCCTTTTTATTCAGAACTACTTGACTCTGCAGAAAAAATAAATGATCAGAACAGAATACAGGCCATGGCACTCAGTTCCCTGGGAAGAGGACAAGCAGCATATTGAGTGTGTGACACATGAAGGTCAGTGTGTGGTAGAGAGACTCAGGGAAGTGAAGCCATGATGGTCCAAACAACAATCGACTAAGAGAAATGCTCAGAGCTGATGGCAGTGTCCCGAAACGATCCTTGGGATGGCTGCAGGTGAGCATGGAGGAGTGCAGGAAATTTTTTATTGTCTGGACCTACCCTGATGATTGTTGTACTGAGATAGCTTTCAGTATTTCCTGCTTTCATATTAGGGGCTTTCCTTCTCAGGAATAATCTGGAGGAGCTCGAGTTTGTAATGATCTTGAAATTATAATTTCTCAAGGTTTATGTCCTAACTTTATGCTTTTGTAGTGTTCTCTGAAATTGGGAATTCAGTGGTTGTTGTTTCCAGCACTCCATTACCTCTAATGGATATTGAGCACAATTTGAAAGAAAGCTATTCCTTGATTTCTTCTGTCTGAAAGCTGTCTTTTTGAGAGTTCATTAGGAGGTTGGGATTTTGGGCCAGAGTTCTATTGGGTAGTACATGGTAGCCTCCAACTAACAATAATCCTCAGGCCCCAAACCCCTGTAACCTGATAATTCTGAATTTACAT